AAGGTACTTCTTATTCTCTTCCTGCCCGCGGACACAAGTACTCTGCCAGCGTCCGCCACCAACCCACCTGGTCAGCTCCCCGGGGATCGCACGGCCACGCGACCCTCAATAGAACCTGGACTGCGACTGAGCAGGCCATAAGCCCCTATCCTGGGGCCGCGGGAGATCCGCGGAGACCGGATTTCCGGACGAAAACAACTTGGGATGGCGATGGACCCGACTGGCTCGCCTGGTCGTCGCCCTCCTCCCGGCCCCGCACCCCCGACACCACCCGAGTCCGTCCCCGGCCCCGCTTCTTCGTCGCCCGCCTCGGGGCTCCCGCCTCCCGATCCCTCACTTCCCCGACCCCAGCTCCCTCCGACCGCTCTCACCTCTCCCGGCCCCTGCGCCGCCGCGCGTTGCTAGGACAACGGCTGCTCGCGGAACGCGGAAACAGCCGAAGTGAGTGACTAGGAGGCCGAGGCCGCCCGAAGCGCCACGAGGGGCCGGAAAGAACCGAAAATGATCGGGAACGTTCGTGCAGAGGGTTAGATTGCCAAGCGGGTTCCCGCGGGCGGCGAGCTCCACGGTCTTTCCCGGCAGTTTCCCCCCATCCCAGCCACGGTCGGGAATCAACAACGCTAGCTCGTAAAGTGGGGCCAAGAGGCCAGGGTATGCCACCCTGCGCAGAGAAGGGAGCTGTCGAAATTCTTCTAGGGGTGATGGCGATGCAAAACCTGTTGGGATTCGCTCCTGTAGTTACACCTTTTCAACCGCTTAGGTCTGTCAGAAGGTGGAGGAAGGCAACAGACTGTGGGGGAGAAACGGAACGCCATCTTCTTTAAGAGCGCTCTCTTGTTAATCTTATTGCTGGGTCTTCTGGACCCCAGACCGTTTTTCTAGGTTCTGCTTTGTCTGATCTTAAGAGGTGGTTCAAGAGTATTCCCGAGAAAAGCCAATTGACTCGACATACTTCCTTGAAGTTATTAATTTATCACGTGCATTCGATGCCTTGGGAGACATGGACGCCTTTGGTGAGAAAATGTTAGCCAACGATACGGGTTCATCCCATTAGAAACGAACCTGACTCATGGAGACAGACTGCATCCCCAAAGGTATTAACAACTGCGCTCTGACCTTATGGTTTGAAAAACAAAGCAATGTCATGCCATTAAAAAAAATAGTCACTAGGGCAAAAGGATCCATTGTTAAACAAATGAAAAAAAAGTGTAGATACCACTGGATGAGATGGGATAGGCGTCTCCAAGGAAGACTCCGAAGTTTATATTTTTTTAAAACCCACTTTCATATACAGAATATTTTTATGTGTCTACTTAGGTGCCTTATGAACATTTTTTATTTTTCCATTTTTATTGGGTATATTGGGGTGGCACTGGTTAACAAAACTATACAGATTTCAGGTGCACAATTCGACAACACATCTGTGCACTGTATTGTGTGTTCACCACCCAAGTCTCCCTTCACCACAATTTACCCCTATCTCCCTCCATCTCCGCCACCACCCCAGAATTTTTAAGGAATAAATTTGTGTAAATTTAAGGTATATAGCGATGTTGTTTCGATGCACTTAGATATTGTAATATGATTGCTCACATAGCTTATTTATCACATTACTAATTGTAGTACATTATTGTGTGTATTTATTATACTGTGCGTTTGATCTCTATGGCTTATTTACTACTCCCTACAAGTTTATCCTTCAACATCATTACTCTTATCCCACCCATAAACACTAGAATTTTAAAAACACTCCTTTATTTCCCTAATGAAGAAAAAGGGCCTAAGTGCCCAGCACTATGTGCTTGCCAAAAAAAGTTAAAAAGCACACACCCAACCCAATAAAGGGTGTATTTATCCGCCTCGGTTGCACTTCCACACTTCTTTCGCGCGGGATCCAACTCTCGGAGCTGAGGCGGCGTTTTCTTCTCACGCATCCGTCATACGGCCTTAACCAATCACAGCCAGGCACTGATTCTATTGGCTGTCGCCCGACCAATCCGAGAAGACGCACCAACCTGCAAAGCCGCAAGACGGCGTCACAACATTACCCGCGTCGCAGACAACACCCTCTCGCCCCCGCCCAGCATCGTGCGTGCAAGCAAGCGCGCCACAGATGGCCAATGGGAGCGCCCTTAGGGGGGCGCGCTCGCTGAAAACTTCGGACGTGCTCGTCTCCGCGCGCTTCGCCCCTCCTCTCCCCGAGCGCCCGCCGCCTTTGTCCCGCCCCGCGCTCCGCCCTTGCGGTCTCCTTCGGCCGCCGTAGCCGGAACTGCTGCTGTGCGCGGCTGGCCGGGTCTACGGGAGGCTGAGCGGCGGTAGCCTTGGCTCCCGCAGCCCAGTCAGCCGCACCCCGGCCGCGGAGAGGACGTGCCGGGGCAGGCATTGCTGGTCGACTGTTTCCGAAGCGGGTGCACCACCCCGGCGTAGCGGTCTTGCTGCAGTCGGGGCCCGGGGCTGCCCGGCCCGGCCGGATCTGCGGGCACCCGGGAGGCTCCCGGAGGGCCCGGGAAGCCAGGCTGCTGCGGGGCATTGATGAACAAGGTGACCGGAGGCTGGGGCTCGAAAGGGGTAGGCCGCCTCGACCGGCTGTCATGGCGATACCGGGCTCCCTGCTTAGGTGGGGGCTGCGGAGGAGCGGCCTGCTCCCTTGCCGCCGTAGTTATGCACGCGGTGCTTTGTCGGAGCGGCTCCGGGGAGTCCGGATCGAGAAGTGTCGCCTTGACGGGGCGCTTTGTGTGCAGCCAGAAATCGGCTAGAGAAGGGAGGGCTTTGCTTTTTCCTTCCAGAAACGTGACAAAAGGCGTCCAGCCGAGATGGGGCTTGAGGCCGTTCCATCTCTGTGCACGTTCAGGAAGTAATGGAGGTTTTCCTTTAAAGGTTATCATCCTCCTGTTTTCCTATAGCGGTAGGGGAAACCTCAGGAATGTGTCAGTATCCTTTAAATCCTGAAAAGCGCCCTGTCCTTCTGTGTTCAGTGTAGTGTCTAACATTCAACCTGGCAAACAGGCAAGCTGATTCTGTTGTGGTTGGTCTCTGCTGTGCCTGAGCCCTGGGTTGACTGTGGGTGGCTTTGGGATGAAAGGCCCCTGGGAAGTAGGATTCTCCACATTATACACCAGGGAAAGGCCCTTCTGGATACGTTCAGATTCCTTAAGTATAAATAGATGGGTTGAGAAATGAATACTGAGAAGCCCTGTACAATGAAATGCTTTAAGTTTGGCTGTTTGTCTTGTGTAGTTCTGTTGGTTGGCAGGGTGTTTTGTGTTGCCTGTTGTTGTTGTTTTTAACCAGCAAGAATTCAAATGATTAATAAGATCAGTTACAACAGATGAAAGCTGTTTAGAGGTCACTCTGTGACAGAAGACATCAGAGCAGTAGTAGGTATTACTGTGATTTTTACTCATTTCCAAACCTTTCTCTGACAGGTCCTTGCCCCTGTTCCTGTATTTTGTTGTTCACCTCGATGCCTTGTTCTTGTTTTCCTTTTAAATGGAGAATGTTCCTGCCCTTAGTTGTGTTCCGTTTGTCGAACACAGTTTGGGCATAGCATCGACACTTGTTGAGGAATCTGATTATCTTTCTTGCTTCATCGCAAGCACACGTTATTTCCCAGCTTATAATGGTTGTAGGGACCAGATTCTCTCCGTGTATTTTTGAGTGTGTCTGTCTTCTGGGTTGCTTTTTTAGAGTCATCGCATTTTATTGTTGTCGACATTTCACACAGCAGTGGGTAAAAACGTTAATGCAAGAATTTCATTAATGGTTGCCAAGAGTTTTAACACCATTGTCTTCTACCCATTCTTGCATTTGGACCTGGACATACCGTGCCATCCCTTTCACGGGTGGCTCCAACGTGTTCCATGCAACAGGCTTCTTTGTTGCAAAAAAAACCCACATTTTAAATTCCTAAATCCCCGCAGCAGCACACATCTCCCACCCTGGGAAGCATGATTCCCAGAAACCCTGAGCTTATTATTCTTTATGTCTGTTTAAAAATAAGCAGGCGGACGGGCCGCCGGGCCACTATGGAGTTCCCTGTGCACACTGGCGAGCCCGCACCTCTCCCCTGCCGGGGTGGATCCCGGCCCCTCGCTCCCGCTCCAGGGCCAACTTCGGGGGCTGGCGTGGGGGGCAGGTGCGCGGGGCCAGGTGCCACGCGCGTTTGGGGGGTCGGGAGGGGTCGGGTGTGGGGGTGGGGAGGCGGGCACCGAGGCCCAGCCGGCCCAGGCAGCCCGGGGAGCGAGGCCGGGGCGCAGGCTTCTCGCCTCGCAGGCCATGAGCCGCGGCTCCGTTGGGTAAGTGGTTCCGGGCCGCGACGCTGGTACCCAGGAACCCGAACCTCGAATCCCGGACGCGGGACCCCGGATCCCTTTTCGACCCCGACGGGCTGGGGCGCCGCGCGGGCAGGGCCGTCTGGGCGCGGCCACCGAGCGGCCGCCCGATGCCCCTGGCGCCCCGGGGTCCTAGGCCACGGGGTCTGGGCCGGGGCTCGGGGTCCGGGACCCGGGGTCCGGGGTGGCCGACTCGGCCGGGCGGCGGCGGGCGGGCCGGGCGAGGACCTGGAACAAACAACGGCGGCCATGTTGAGAGGGAGGCGGGCGGCTAAACTTCGCGGCGGCGCCTCACCGGGGCCCCTCTCCTCTCCCGCAGGATGACAGTGAAGTTGGGAGACGGCGGCGGCGGGGAGGAAGGACTCAAGAGGCTGGGCAAGAGGGCTGCCGAGGAGGAGGCGTTGGAGGGAGAGGGCGCCGGCGGCGGGGACTCGGCGGAGGACAGCGGTGGCACAAAGAGGGACGGCAAGACCCCCCGGGGCGGCGGCCCCCCGGCCCCCGCGAGCGGCCCGCAGGCTCCGTCCCCGCCGCCCGCCTGCCCCCAGGACCAGCACCACTTCCTCCGGTCCAGCGTGAGGCCGCAGAGCAAGCGGCTCAGGAAGGACTCGTCGGGCGCCGGGGGGAGCAGCAGCAGCACCGGCGGCTCGGGGCCTCGCGGAAAAGGTACGGGGACCCCGGCCCCTTCTCGGCGTGGCGTGCCCCGCGCTCACCTTCCTGCCTGCGCTGCATGCCGCTCCTGACCCCGCGCCTGCATTTGTCTCGCAGTTGGGGTTGCACTCGGAGGAGAGGTGCCCCTTTCCCCCTCCCAAGGGGCTGTTTCTCCCCGCGCTTAAGCCATGCTAACAGGCAGTAAGCGTCCTGTCTTTGGGCAGGTCCAACAGATTCTTGAAGGTGGTCCCCCCCCCCCCCCCCCAAAGGATCATTGACGATGGAGGCTATTTCGTGCAGCAGACGGTAGTTTAGAAATGGAGAGAGAAAATCCGCAGCATCTTTGCCAGTTGTCAGATGGTGGAAACACAACAAAGGAACGGGCTTTTGAAACTTATTTGGGGAAAGGTTGGTAAGAAGCCAAAAATATTCCAGGATCTGACTTGGGTACTTGATCCCCTACTTCAAGTATTCTCGGCTCAAAAGTTATTAAGGGCATCAAGACGATGACTTTTACGAGCTTTGAGTTTTGGTGCCATGGAAAGAATCCCCCCCTGGGGTAGGAGGTAGTGAAAACATTTGTGGCCGGATTTAAAAGAACAACAGCCTACAGTGTCTGTCAAGGTATTCTGAGGCGATTGAGAAGATTTCAGCTTTACCTAAAATAAGAAGAAAGCCACGCGTCCTCAGTTTTGTTTCTGATGTGCTGGTTCTCCATGGTTTTCCTCTTTTATCCTTTTCTGGTTCAGCATTCTGCTTTTCCTCAGTTGTACAAGTGAATTGCTCTTAACATCCCTTTTGTTTCAGGCCAGATTTGTAGCACTTTTGTAGGTAGCAAATATAATGTAAATTTCCAGTGAGTTTTGCAAGGAAAAAACTGCCACTTAGCTCCTTGGCGAATGGTCCTTCAAATTTATTAGCTGGTCTTGATAGTTTTAAAAAGGAAATATTTTGGAAGCGAACAGAGAACCCAAATGTGTGTCGTTACACTTGCTTTTTCTATCTCATTCTCAACTGAAATCATGGCCTTACTCATTTTTTGGTAAAGAATTTTGATGTAAGTATTCTTTCTTAAAGATGTAGGTATAAGGTAGTTTAGTACATTTCAGAAACTAAAACTTGCCTCATAGATTTTTTTTGGATGTGATAGTTAGTTGTTGATTGGTTAGGAAAATATTAAGTTGTTCTACTAACTTCATTTGTTTCGTAAAAAATAGTTTTTCATTCCTAGTTACAGGTGTGTCTAAGTTAAGCTCCTTGCGTGCCTTCAAGAGTTTGTGGCTTCAGTCTCCCTGAATCTGGAGTCCAGTCAGAGCTCGCTGCCTGTCACCCTGGCCCTCTGACCTTGGTCTGCTCACTTGACCTCTTCAATCTGCTTTTCCATCAGAGAGGTGTCCTCACCTGTGAAATGAACAGCAGCGAGTCTGGCTGCAGAGATGAGATGAGGTGCTGGTGTGAAAGCTGAAAGCCCCCCCCCCCCAGATAACTACCTTTATGTGAGATGCTAAAACTTGAGTGGTTGGTCATATTTCTCACAGTCGGGTAATTAGGGGAAGTTTGCTATCACTTGCATAGTTGGGTGTGACTTGCAAAAAGGTTTCCTGGATTAGCCTTGAATCAAGTCCTTGGTGCTTCTGTTTTTAGTTCCTGACCCCAGTGTGTGGCTTGGAGCAGCAATCCACTTTTCATTAGTAAAATGGGAATTTGTTAGAATTTGTGCTGCTTGTAACTTACATATTTTCCTACGATAGCAAGCAAATGTTTCTTTAAATAAATAATAAAGCTAAGCTATATATAATGGTGTCTTTTAGGAGAGGAGTAGGAAGTGTATCTCCTTTTCTTCACAGAACTCAGCCAGCATCTGGCCTTTAGCCCCTCTTGACTGTGCTTGAGCTGGGGCTACCGGGATCCTTTGGATCCACTTCACTTCTCCACACCCAGGCCTCAGGACATCCCCTCCTTATGCCTCAGGGCAAGCTCTGCTCCCTGGGCCTCCATTCACAGCCAGAAAAGAAGGTCATGTGACAACATGCTGCTAAAAAGAAGGTCATGTGACAACATGCTGCTAACCTTTGAAAACCATTCTTAGAGTAGCATTTGTCTTACGGAATATGGAAATCTCCACTTGGGGTGGTGAGCATGGATCATTAAGGAAATGAACAGTGTGGAAGGTCCTTGAATTCTGTCCTTGTTAAAATGGTGGTGAGATGCCCTAGGAGCCTGACTCTTGTATATATCAATAAGATTATGGTAAAATTTCACTTAAAGTCACAAAATGTATCAACGATGCTAAGTGAGAACTTCCTGTACTGGCATTTTTCTTGTATTTCTCTTCAGAAAAATATAATTCCTGTTACGCTTAAGAAATAATCACAGTCTAGTCATTGGAGGCCCCTTTGGTTGATTACTTACTGCTCTTGCCGTTTCAGTCGTTGAGAACTTTGCAGTGAGATCGGAGAACACTGGTGAGAGGGAAGTCCTCCTTGTTTTGCTTCTGTCCACACAACTATGTTTTCTTTATAAAAACTCTTGTCAACTTCAATGAAAAATAAATTTTTCTAGTATAATTTTGAATTCTTTTTGAATTGATAAAGAGAAAGTGGCTAAGACTTAGGGCCTATGTGCCAGGCATCTTGCATCTCAGTTAACTTTACTTTTAAGTAGATGCGGAAACTGAAGTTTGTTGTTTAAATAACGTGCTTAACCTAAACAGAAGGTAAGCTGCAGATGAGAAACCAGTGGCTCTGCTTGATGCCAAAACAAATGTTCCTGCAGCCCTACCATGCTGCCCACAGCGACCCGAGAATGCGTTTGAGACTGAAAACCAGAATTCACAGATCCGTGAGAACATGGGCCAGGAGACAGAGGCCCCCGTACCTTTCCCTGTTTGGCAGTTCAACTCTGAATGAACTAGTACATCTCAATTTCTTTGTCTATAAAGGGGATAATACCAGTGCCTGGCTCGGCACAGCAAACACCACAGCCAGGCCTCGCAACAAGGTCCTGCAAGGCCGTGCTTAATGAGCTCCCAGTGCTTCTCTATGGGAAAGGTGCCTGGCTTTGGGACCTGGGCCTTTAGGCTGAGTCTGAGCAGGCCGCCTGGGGAGAGGGAGGCCCTCTGCAGTGATAGCTGGTATAGGTCCCAGGAATTCCCCCAAGCTACTGCCCTGTCAGACAGTTGGGCTGAGGGGGTGCCTGAGGTGGGATAGAGCCCTCTGTTTTCATTGTGTGTGCCCTCTCATCCTTGTCCCCCTCCCTTATCTCCCCAACTTTGGTTCCACTTGTCAGGGGAGCTAGTCACAAGACCTACCGTCTCCACAATTGGGCCATGTCAGCTGACTTTGCTGTGCTTGTGCTTAGGAATCATTACGTCACTGTACAGAATTTACTTATATTTTGCATAATCTGTGAGCTGCCTGCAGCTTCTAGGTGTCTTTAAAAGATGTCTTACCCTAGCCAGTTTGGCTCAGTGGATAGAGCATCAGCCCTTAGACTGAAGAGTCCCGGGTTTGATTCTGGTCCTGGCATGTACCTCGGTTGCAGGCTTGATCCCTGGCCTTAGTTGGGGCACATGCGGAGGCAGCCATTCGATGTGCTTCTCTCACATCGATGTTCCTCTCCATCTCTCTCCCCTTTTACTCTCTCTAAAAATCAATGGAAAAATATTCTTCAGTGAGAATTAACCAAAAAAAAAAAGTTATGAAATATCTCACTCTCATTTGGTCAACCTTGAGAGACAAACCATATGAGAAAGAAGTTTGAACCAGCAGTCAGGAGACTCACCTTCTCCCCGCAGAGCTGCTGCATGGCTGGTCCAGCTCTGCGGCAAAGGAAACATTGCTCAACATGCCCGAACCTTAGGTTCCTTACTTTTAAAATGGGTCTGGTGAGATCGTGGCTTGAAGGTGTGTTCACCTTAACACTCTCTGTGCAGAATGGTTTTGTCCTGTTTGCGTTCTCAGGAGAGTGTTGTGAAAGGTAGATTGCCTGAAATCAAGGTAGTTCTGTATCTGGGGGGCTCTGCTCAGCCTTGACTCTGGGAGAGCACTGGGCAGGGAGTGGTCAGAGTGCATACTCCTCCCTCCAGGTGTGGCACTGCCTGTTGTGCCTGTGCAGCTCCACCTCTTGTCTGCGCTGTCATCACTGTCACTGTCCCCTTATCAAAGCACGGGCCAGGCCCCAGGCAGCTGGGTGGAGTTCGAAGTTCCTGCCCTCCATACTCTGTGCGGAGGAAGACACGTCAGGTGGTCACAAGAGCACTTTGGTCTTCCTGGTTTGAGTCAGTAAATGAGGTTTAATAAAGTCATGTGCAATGACGACTGCATGGAGCCACCACGGCCACCTAAGCAGGAATGTCAAGTTTTGCTGAAAGGTGTCAGACTTTGTTGGGAGAAGAGGAGGAGGAAGAGAAGACATTCTCCTGACTCTTTCTAGCACACAGTGGCACCATCCCCTATGATGGCTGTATACAGTGGAAGACAGTAAATAACCCCAACACATGGCCCTGTGGTGTGACATAGACTCCCTGTGCACAGTAGGTCAGAAGACCTCTGTGTGGTCCAGGCCACTTTAAAGATGGAGCTGTTCAGGACAGAGGAAAATATTCATAAACCAGAGGTTCTTAGTAAATTACTAAGTTCAGGGTAGTAGAGTTTGCATTTGCTTCATGTGAAAGATATGGATAGATAGTATAGGTGAGTAGATGAGGTAGCGTTTGAATATTGGTTTGAAGGCTAAGCTAAATTTTCTTTTGACTTTTGACATCAAGACTAATACCTCATTGACTTTTTTTTTAAATCCTCATCCAAGGAGATATATATATATATATATATATATATATATATATATATATATTTTTTTTTTAACCCCTCTACTGATTTCTAGAGAAATTGGAAGGGAGGGAAAAGGGGAGAGAGAGAAACATTGACATGAGAGAGACACATTGATTGGTCGCCTCCCGCATGTGCCCCTACTGGGATTGGGGAACCTGCAACCGAGGTACATGCTCTTGACTAGGAATCAAACTCTCGACCCTTCGGTCTGTAGGTGGATGCTCTAACCACTGATCCAAACTGGCCAGGGCGCTCATTGACTTTTAATGTCAAAACTAATGTCATTTCTGTGGTGTCTGACTGTTTTTCAAATTATCCTTTGCCAACCAAATATACTTGAGGATTTTTATTTCATGTGGTACAGGTGTGTCTTTTTTATTTTAAAACTTTTAAATTTACTTAGTTAATTTTTAAATAATTCTTTATTGTTGAAAGTATTACCTATGTCCCCTTTTTACCCCCATTGATCCCCTCCAGCCCGCCCTCCACCCCCGCCCCAGGCCCTCACCGCTCCATATATTTATGGTCTCATCTGTGTCCATGGGCCATGCATATATGCATACAAGATCCTTGATTGATTGCCTCCCACCCACCCACCCTCCCCCACCATCCCTCTGAGATTCCACACTCTGTTCCGCACTTCCATGTCTCTGGATCCACTCCATTCATCAGTTTATTTTGTTACTCAGATTCCACATGTGAGTGAGATCATGTGATACTTGTCTTTCTCTGACCGCAGGTATGTCTTTTAGATTCCATGATAATATAAAGATAATAGGAATGCTTTCAGATAGTAGAGTCACAAATGTAAAAATTGCTTTGTCATATATAGACGGTGGTGCTGCATAGAAGCATTTTATCACATCAAGTAACTGCAGTATTCTTGGCACTGAAGAACAGTGTGAGAAATGCCCAAAAAAAAGACATTCCCTGGTGTTAGTAGTTTGGGTGGGCTATCACCATTAGAAATCTTCACATTATTTGAAGAAGAGGGCATATGTTTTAATAAAAACTGGGGCTTCACCTAGCCTGTGTTTCTCAGTGGTTAGAGCCAGCACATGGAAGGTTTGAGGGTTCGCGTCTCAGTCAAGGGTATGTATCTAGGTTGCAGGTTCCAACTGCAGCCCTGGTCAGGGTGCATGCAGGAGGCAGCCGATCAATGTGTCTCTCTCACATCAATGTTTCGCTCCCTCCCCCGCTACCTCCCTCCCTTCTACTCTAAAAATCAATGGGAAAAATGTCCTTGGGTGAGGATTAACAACAATAACAAAAAGTGGGGTTTCAGTTGTGTTTTTCTGAAACATTTGTGGGAGGAGGAGGAGAGTCTTCGAGAGAGGCCAGCGCTGGTCATGGTGTTGAGGATACTGAGCCTTGTGGAGTGCCGAGGATGGCGAGATGATGTGGAGACACCAGGGATGCAGAGGTGACTGGGACATGTCCCGGGACCACCAGGCTCCAGGTCATCTTCAGATCACAGAAAAGGGTGTCACAGAGGCCAGGGACCCTGGACAGGGGCTCTGACCACCTGGCTGGAACATCTGCACTGGCTCTCAGCGACTGCATGGCGAGTGGTTGGAAGGGGTTCTCGAACACCTGCATGTGGGCAGCTTTCTGAAGACAGATGGGGCAGCTTGGAATTCATCTGTTGAGGTGACACTCTTACTGGGGATTGGCTGGCACATTTTCTTTGGTAGAGAGAGTGTCCCTCAGTCACATGTGTGTTCTCTATGCAAACCTGGCCATTCCAGCCTCTGACACGAATGGCACATGTTTTGAGAGGCATCTGTGGGAGATCTTGGCATTTTTGCCTCCTGCCTCACAACCACGGTGTTTTGTGAACTGAGGTCGATGTGTGGGGATGGAGCAGTTGCCCTCTCATACCATGGAGGAAGATGATGGAGGAAGAGGATGAGGAAGCATTCCTGTGCCACAGTGGAAGGCAGGCATGCCTGGAGACACACTTTTATTAGCTGAACTTGAATCATCTTTCTAGCTGAGAATGGCTCAGGGCATTATCGAATACCTTGCGTTTGGTGGGTCTGTCACTTGAGATTTTAATGTTCCTAACTCTTGGAAGGAAGTTCGCCAAAGGCAGAGGAAAGCTCAGGACAATGAGTCATTGTATAATATGACAGATTGTCATTACATCTTGTGTCTTACCTAAATTAAGACACACAGTTTTGTTTTTAGAGGTAAACATCCTCCACAGTCCTGTCTCCTGCCACTTACTTGCTTTTGGCAAGTCATTGCACCTCTTGGCTTTCTTATCTATCACAGATTGAGGCGTGGATGTGGAGGTCAACTTCCCTCCACCCTAAAACCCTCTGATTCCCACAGCTCTGTACGTAATAAAAATACTGAAGCAGTAGTGATGCTGGCAGCAGCCACCACACTGTTGTATGGGCCCAGGTTTGGAACAAGAGACTTGCTTCCTGCTGCTTGGTGACTTCGGAGCTTTTGGGCTTTAGAGTCTCAGTTTCCCCATTTCTGAGATGTGAATAATAACTATAACTATATATATATTTGCCTAAGCAACCGTTCCACCAGTAGCTATGATGCGCACTGACCACCAGGGGACAGACATTCAATTCACAGGCATGGAAACATGGAACAGACAGACTGATGAATCTTGGGGGGGAGGGTGGGAAGAGATTAACCAAAGATCTTGTATGCATACTAGAGGCCCGGTGCACGAGTTTGTGCACGGGTGGGGTCCCTTGGCTTGGCCCATGATTGGGCCGATCGGGGCTGGCCAGCCAGGCGGAGGGACCATAGGAGGTTGGCCAGCCACGGCAGGTTGGCTGTGGGAGCGCACTGACCACCAGGGGGCAGCTCTTGCATTGAGCATCAGCCCCCTGGTGGTCAATGTGCATCATAGCTACCGGCAGGTCTTCTGGTCATCTGGTGGTAATGGTCATTTAGGCACATATATATATATATGTATATATATATGTATATGTATATATATGTATATATATATACATACATATATATGTGTGTGTGTGTGTGTGTGTGTGTGTGTGTATATATATATATATATATATATATATATATATATGAGGTCCTCCGTGCACCAGTGGGTTCCCTCTGCCTGGCCTGCGGGGATTGGGCCAAAACAGACAGTCCGACAGTCCCCTGAGGTGTCCCAGATTGCAAGAGGGCACAGGCCAGGCTGAGGGACCCCACTGGTGCACGAATTCATGCACCCGGCCTCTATTCCTATATAATAAAAGCCTAATATGTTAAGTGTCTGACTGTTCGTTCAACCATTCGACCCATTGCTATGATGCACACTGACCACCAGGGGGCAGATGCTCTGACCGGTAGGTTAGCTTGCTGCTGGGGTCTGGCCAATCGGGACTGGGTGAGATGGGCTGCACACACCCTGGAGTCCTCCTGTGGTCCCTCCCTGGCTGGTTGGCCGCAGTTGGGACTGGGCAAGACTGACCGGACATACCCTGGAGCCCTCCCGCAGTTCCTCCCCAGCCCCGATTGTGCACTGGTGGGGTCCCTCAGCCTGGTCTGTGCCCTCTCACAATCCGGGACCCCTCGGGATGTCGGAGAGCTGGTTTCAGCCTGATCCCCACAGGCCAGGCCAAGGGACCCCACCGGTGCACGAATTTTGTGCATGGAGCCTCTAGTATACTATAAGGACAAAAAGGAGCAGTGTTTGAACGTGCTTTACTGGTGCTGTAGAAATCCATGTTCCCTTGGCTCCAGGCCTCTGGGAAATGAGCAGCTCCACGTGTGCCTCAGCTTCTTCAGCGAGAGATGGGGCTGAATTTCTCCTCTTCAGGCAGTAAGAGGGAGCATGGGTGATGGCCTTCCAGGCCAATGCAGAGGTGTATGATGGGGGAGACACATAGTCTAGCTCAGTGGTCAGCAAACTCATTAGTCAACAGAGCCAAATATCAACAGTACAACGATTGAAATTTCTTTTGAGAGCCAAATTTTTTAAACTTAAACTATATAGGTAGGTACATTGTTATTAACTTAATTAGGGTACTCCTAAGGCTTGGGAAGAGCCACACTCAAGGGGCCAAAGAGCCACATGTGGCTCGCGAGCTGTAGTTTGCCGACCACGGGTCTAGCTTGTCTGAGGGTGTGGTGGACAGGCAGGCAGCCGGGAGAGGCAGACCAAGGCCACATGGCTGCCTCCCTCAAATGCAAGCTCTGGAAGGTGGGTTGTAGCTGGGGTTGGTGGTTTGGGAGGCCAGAGAAGAGGCAGTTAAGATTGTGTTACTTGGTGGCGGCTCAGAGCTGGCCTGGGAAAATGGCAGTGGAAATGCAAAAGAGGAGAAGCCAGGTAGCACCCAGGCAACTGGAGGATTGTGGCACTGAAGTGGGTTGAGGGGGAAGTGTGGGTTCTGTGTTGGAGGCACTAGGGACTAGGGCGGGCAAGGGGCACAGCGGAGGGCCCTGCTCTGTGCTCTGTTGGTTTCTGAGCTCTCATTGAGCACTTGCTCTGTGTGAGGCCTCGTGCCAACCTTGGGCATGGGAAAGTAAGGTACTGTTCTTGCTTTCAAAGAGCTCACTGTTGGGGAATCCTATTCTTGTACCTCACTTCCCTTCAGACTTCTTAGACGCTGCTCATCATGCTGCTCTTGCTATTACTCTTTGTAGCCTCAGACACAGAGCCGCAGAGGGAGGCTTAACTTTGGCCCTCTACGTTTCGCTGGGCTCCTTGCACTCACTCCGATCCCCACGCCCACCCTGTCTTGTTCAAATTGTCTTCCCTTTCCACTTCTTGCCTCTCTACCTCTATCCTCCTCGCTTGTTTCCCTCTCTCCCCCTTCAGTCATCACCATTTTCATCTAAATTTTTCTGCCCTGATGGTAGCCTTTCCTGGTCAGCACTGTCATGTTATACCAGCATCTCTTATCCTGCGTCTGTTCTTCATGCTTGAGCTGGAGTCCTGGACTGAGCCTGAGGTGAAGCGATGACGCATGCCTCTCATCTGAAATGTTGGGAATGGCCCAGATGCCACGCTGCTCTTTCTACCTGGAAGCTTGGTGATGCTCTTTTACTTTGACATTATAAGGTCTAGAGTGACGTGCACCAAGTGTTGAAAAGGGTTACCTGGGGGTGATGTGCTTTCTTTTTTGAACGTTCGCATTGGCCTGCTGAGGATGTCGTTTGGAACTATCAGGAGGAAGGGCTGAACATCTCTGCCCAGCAAGAGTGGCTGCTGCTCTGCAGCCTGTGTGCTGCCTCGTGTATCTTGGCAGAGCTGCTCTGACTGTTGTATCTTCTTTCATAGCCATGGTTTTGGTTTATCCTGCACTCTACCCCTGAGGTCCCTTCCAGCTCGGAAATGCTTCCAGTCCGTTTTCCTTCACCATCCATCCTCCTTGTCTTGGGCCACCAGTGCTGTGATCTGGTGAAATCTCAAAGACGCTAGCAAGATGGCTGCATTAGAGAATTTCTTAAATGCACGTCTGTTACTTTCAAGTACATCGAATGTCATTGTGGGCGGCAAAAGTAAACCAGAGCTATGACTGTAGGGCTGGTTAGCAAGTTGCTGTTGTTTTGGAAAGCGTTTAGTGAGTGTTCAATTAGAAGTGAAAAATGGCTCGAGAGTCTTTGTTGTGGGTGGTGCTGAGGTGGATAGGCAGCCCTTTCTGAAATGACTAAATGAGGAATTGCGGGCTTCAAGTCAACCAGAACTTCTTATATTTAAGAGTGTTTTGTGTTGTTGTTTTTTTAAATATATTTTATTGATTTGAGAGAAGAAGGGAGAGAGGTAGAAACATCAGTGATGAGAAAGTCATTGAGTGGCTTCCTCCTGCATGCCCCCCACTGGGGATTGAGCCCACATCCCGGCCATGTGCCCTGACTGGAATTGAACTGTGACTTTCTGGTTCATAGGTTGATGCTCAACCACTGAGCCACGCCGGCTGGGCTAAGAGTGGTTTTTTAAATGGCATCTGTAACGTGGTCTTCAGTTCCCAGCAAAAGCATCTCAGACCTACTAGAAATGGGATGAAACTAATTATCCCTGGAAATGTGCTCAGAAGTTGCCATACCTGTTCAAAACATCATGTGAAGTGCCAGGTCCAGTATTTTTTTAAGTATACAGGTTAATGCCTTCACTATATTCACAGCCTTATGCAGTAATCACCGCTATATCATTCCAGAACATTTGGTCACTTGAAAAAGGAACCCGTGGGCAGTCAGTCACACTCCATTTCTCCCAGCCTTTGGCGACCACTATTCTACCTCCCGTGTTTGTAAGTCTTGCCTGTCCTCACCTTGCCCTTTGAGAAGCCTCCCAAACCCCTGCCGTCCTCCCCAGGCCTGGGTATGTAGGGGCAACACCTACCCAGTGTTCTGGCTCCAGTGCGGATACTGGCCCTCCCCAGAGTGCACAAGCCAACACCACTGTGCTAAAGGCTCAGACATAACACAGGGAATTGAACAGACTCATGTGAAACTAAAATACCTGCTGTAAGAACAGGCAGCTTGCTCTGTGGGGCTCTCAAGCTCACCATCCTAACTTGAACCCGCTCCCAGGTCCTTTATTTAGTCCATGTTTCAGGTTTGCTGTGATGAGGAATGGACAAAGTCAAATTGTGTATCCAGTGCTTCCTTAGCCTTCTCTGTAGCACAGAGATTATGTGGGTTACCTTTTTGTTCCAGGTGCATGTGGGATGGGAAGGGGCAGCTGGAAAGCAGGCTGGGGTATAGCATGCTTAACTTGATTATCTTTTGTTTTACAACAGTGTATTTAGGACTGACTGGCACTTTCTGGGATGGTAGAAATGTTCTGTGCTGTCCAGTGCAGTAGCCACTAGCAACATGTGGACATTGATGACTAGAGACATGTGGCTAGTGTGACTGAGGGACTAAGTTTTTGTTTTATTTAATTTTAATTAATCTTTAAATCTAAATATACTCGTGTGGTTACTGGCTTGTCAAATTGGACACAATAGCTGTGATAAACCAGTGATTTCTGGTCTATAGTCAATGTTACCGTAGGACAGCGATTTTCAACTGGTGTGCCGCAAGAATTCTTAAAACATGCAATACCTGCCCTAGCTTGTGCTCAGTGGTTAGAGCATGAGCATTGGCCCTAGGGTTGAAGGGTCATGGGTTTGACTATGGTCAAGGTCACGTACCTTGATTGCAGGCTCGATCCCCGGGCCTAGTTGGGACTCGTGAGAGGCAACCAATCAATGTGTCTCTCTCATATCCATGTTTCTTTCTGTGTCTCCCCCTCCCTTCCATTCTCCTTAAAAATCAATAGGAAAAATATCCTCCAGTGAGGATTAACAAAAAAGAAAACAAAACATGCAATTCCTATTTAGTTAGTGACAACAGCCAACACAATAGCTGTGCTGTATGAACGAATCAAAATTATACCTATTTTTTTTTTGTCAGATCAGCACAAAGATATATTTTTTGGTGTGCCGCAGAATTTTAGTAATTAGTTTATGTGTGTCATGAGATGGAAAAGGTTGAAAATCCCTGCCTAGCAAGTCAGCACATCCATCACTAAACTGGCACACCTTTCCATACAAAATCTCAAACAAGCATGTATGAAAATACATTCCTCTTCCTGAAAGCTGTCTGATGGGACTGACTGCTTTGGGGCATTCCCTATTTTGCCATCACATTTATGGTGCACATATTGAAGAGTGTGACAGTGGAGAGTGACTCTGCTTCCCTCTGTTCCCCAGGCAGCCCCTGCACCAGTGTCCTGTGTTTTTTCCAAGGATAGTCTTTGAAAGCTTGCATCAACAGGCTTTACATTTTTCATTACTTTTATTTCTGATGATTTTTTTGTATATGTGTGTGTGAAACTGCTTGCCTTTCATTCATCCTTTGGGGTTGACCCCTGTCTAGGGAGTGAGAGAAATATGGCGCCAGTCTGCACGTAGCTGCCCAGGGACGGCCCACCGATTGACCAAGAAGTGAATCTCAGTGGAAAAGCTCTTGATTATCTCATTTAAAAAAACATCTTGACAATAATCTGCATTTGTTTGGCTTCTGCTTTTTAAAGCACTTTCATTTTTATGGTTTTACTCTCGTTCAGAGTTTGAAGGTTTCTCCCATTTGGTAGTCCTGCAGTTCTATAGAAAGAAAATGCTGGTTATCACAGGGATACTCTGGGAAGTCCTCCTCCCTCTGAGAGGAAGGAACTAGAAGGGTGGGAGCATTTGGTTAGGCCATAAAAATTTTTTATCTGTGACCTTTAACTCTCATTTATTGCCTCCATTGTCCTGAGTACAGAGTTCTGGGTTTACTGCACAGCATGGAAGCCCTGTGTTGTACTTGATGGCACTTTCCCCTTCAGCATGGTTCTTGAGGTCTCATCTTGAGATTAGTAACTGATGCTTTAAGAGCGTTTGTGAAGTGCTCGCTTCGGCAACACATATACTAAAATTGGAACGATACAGAGAAGATTAGCATGGCCCCTGCGCAAGGATGACATGCAAATTCGTGAAGCGTTCCATATTTTTTTTAGATATATTTTGTTTCTGTCATTAAACCCCCCCCCCCCGCCCCCCCAAAAAAAGCGTTTGTGAATTTGTAGTCACTCTCTCAACACCAGATTTTGCTGGTGGTAATTGACAAGAAAAGAGTTTTAAGACTTCATTTGGTGGTCAAATTATCTTTAATTGAAATATATTTTTTTTTGTAATTCTTAACTAGCTGGGCATTCCACTGCACCACTGTTGATATCATCTATGATGTCATGAGGGTGGTGGCCATCAACACTGGGCAGTCCCCAAGATCTCTTTAATGGTCCCAGAGAGTTCTCTAGCTAAAGGCCAGTGCTGCATCTGTCGGGCAGTGTTGACAACCTCATCAGAAGTGACATTTTCACTGCGCTTAATGTTTGGGGTTTTTTTTTCTTCTTTCTGTCTCTTGACGGTTCTTTGAGGGCTTTGATAATCAGGGCAGAGGCAGAAGATAGTACCTCAATTTGGGTCTGTCTGTTCTGAGTGGTCAATTCCACTGTAATCCTCAGACCCTTCCAATCATCCTTTGCTTTGGTGATGTCATCACAATTGTTTTTGGAGACAGTCCCAGGGGCTGATCTTGGGAGCCAGGGCAGATGTGGCACCGACTTCTCCACTGGTGCACCTAAGGTATATGACTTTGATTTTGTTGGGGGTTGTACATGGCGGCATGGTGGAGGCGGCTGGTGTCAGATGAACCCAGATTCTGGACCACCAAAGAAATTTGCACCTAGGCCTCCTCCAAGCCAAAAGCTGTAAAGACTTTATAGATATTTAGGGGTCACATGATCAAATTTTTTTAAAGTACTGATTATATCTAAAAGAAAGCACTGTTTTTCACATCCATTTAAACATTTTCTTGAGTTTGAAACTTAATTTGTTTTTGTTTGTTTTTTAAAAAAGAATTATTTCAGCCAAACCCTCATTTGAAAAAGACACTATGAAATATGTTTGATTTTAGTTCATAGAGGGGAAAGAACTGTATACCTCCATCGTGGACATATCATTGTGCTCTTTAAATGATTCTACCTAAATGTTCTTTCTTCCTTTTTTTCACTAAAAACATATGAAAGAGTCACAGGTCAGGTCAGGATGATGTCATTACTGAACAGCCCCATTAGGCACACAGTAGGTCCCAGGTGCTGTCCCACTATAGCCTGTGATTGAGGAACGTGGAGTGGGACCTCAAGTGGATCCTCGGGCAATGGGGCCTTCCCAAGCCTCTCCAGCTTTTTGGAACAGATCACTGTATAGTTCTTTCTCTCAAAGGAGCTGATGGTGGATCATCATCCGGAAATGGGCCTGGGGTTGCCCCTGCTGCCCCTGCAGGGGCCTCTCGCTCCTCCTCCCGGAACTTAGGATCTTCTGGCGGTGAGAAGGAAGAAGGCAAAAAGGTCCGGCGACAGTGGGAGTCGTGGAGTACCGAGGACAAGAACACTTTCTTTGAGGGGCTGTACGAGGTAAGTGAGTTACAGGACCAGAAAAGGCCATTCAAACTCCTGGCTTCTTATCACTTGTATTTCTCTTTCAGTTTCCCTTTGCCTTTTTACCACATGGCTACTCGATCTACTAGGTCAGCAGTTCCAATGGGGAGCCCCAATGTGACTGACAGGTGTGAGTCGCCAGGGCTGAGGCCTCACCCTCGGACCATGGCCTTTTATCGCTTCATTGTGACTTTAAAAGCTGTTCTAGAGAGGTGGCTGTTTGGAACTTTCTTTATATGTTTCTCTTTTCTCAGATTCTACCCATTGTCTCTCAGCCATACCCTTGAGTGCAGAGTGATATCATTCCCTATCGGCCCCCCCCTTGTAGCTGAGTGGGCCAATCAGGAGGGGCGTTCTCTGAGGGGGAAGGGCAAGGGGACACTTGGCCACATCAGTCAGAGCAGCCAATTCAGTCCTAAAAGCTGACCTGGGACAGACTGTAAAGTCCTAAAGAGAGAAAAGCTGCTCCGTGGTCCCACAGCTCAAAGAAATGGCCATCTCCCTGCCAGCCATTTTACTTTCATGTTTTGTTTTGTTTTCAAATCTTTGTAATTATAAGTAAACATGCTTTTTTTATTGTCAAATGCATTGATATGATGTTTCATAGTTCTTTTTGTTCAGTACTTTTCTCATGCCTATAAATATTCTACTCTCGGGTGTAGGCAAATTTATGGTCTTTGTGTTTTCTGTCTGCTTTTGTAAATAAAGTTTTATTGGAACACAGCATTGCCTATTTATTTGTATATTGTCTCTGGCCAATTTTGACTGCGGTGGCAGAGTTGAGCAGTTATGACAGATACTGTGAGTGGCCTACAACATTTGAGTGTTAACCTTCTGGCCAAACCTTGCTCCAATTAACCGTTGTGTTGTTGCTGTTCCAGATTCTGTTATAAATAACAGTACAGTGAGTATCTTTGTGCACATCCCGTATTTTAGGATATCGCTTTGGGCTATAGTAAGTTGGTTCAGTCGGTGAGCCTTATTCTTTTTCTTTTCTTTTATATTTATTAATTTGAGAGAGAGAATGATTTGTTGTTCCACTTGTTTATGCATTCATTGGTTGATTCTTGTATGTGCCCTGACTGGGTAGTGAATCCACAACCTTGGCATATCAGGACAATGTTCCAACCAACAGAGCTACCCTGCCAGGGCGAACCTTCCTCTTTTAATAGTGAAGGAATTGGAGTGCTAGAAAAGTCTGGCCACACCTGTGAAACAGTTTTATAAAGGAAGGAGGCTTTGAAGTTGAAACCATGAAGTGCTCATAGAGAGACCAGAAAAGGAGACTCCTAAGTGGAGGCAGAGAATAGAACTTGGTGCCAGTTTCTGAACATTCCTGGGGCGGATGGTGCAGTTTGCCGGTCCGGATGGAGGAGGCCCGCGTGTTGGTATCATTGACTCAGTTGCCCAGGAAGAGGAGGAAGTATATACACAGACTTGTTTTAGTCGGTGCAGAGTCATTCAAATAAATTCAAATGTGTTCTTTTTTTTTCCCCTTTGACAATTTTAGAGTAAAGTAGAGGCTGTTTTTGTATAGATTATGTCCCTAAATTGCCTACTTTAAGCTTTCTGTTAGGCATAGAAGACTTGTGATTCCTGGAATGTTCCTAGAATAGCAACCATTGCTGATGCCAAGTTGAGACAGTTACTGCTTTAATGTGGTCCTTCCCTCTTGGGCTCTACAGGGTGATCAGCTATGGTTGTCAATTAAAAGTAGGAGGGGAAGAATTCCCAATGACCTGCTCTTACTTTTTTTCAGGTGGATTAGTTCATTCTCTTTCACTGGGCTAGCCGCCTTCTTTTAATTTTTCTACCGGGTAGGTGTTTCTTTTGAGGTTACCTGAATCCCCCCCCCCTTTTTTGTTTCCATTTAAGCCAAGTTTTATTTTTTATTTTTATTTTTTTTTAGTTTTATTGCTTAAAGTATTACAAAGGGTATTACATATGTCTCCTTTTTTACCCGCCCTTGACAATCCCCTGGCCTTCCCTACCCCCCAGTGTCTTATGTCCATTGGTTATGCTTATATGCATGCATATAAGTCCTTCGGTTGATCTCTTACCCCCGCCTTCTGCCCCCCACCCTCCTACTGAATCCCTTGATTAATAGTAATAAGTGGCTGTTCTGATCACTTAGTGCTTTCCACTATCGGTACTATGTATGCCAAATAGTGTGAGAGTGTTTGTGTTAGTGTTTGTATGTGTATTGGTGTATGGGGGTGAGAGTGACAGAAAGAGAGAGAATATGATTGCTGGCTTTATGTGTGTCATTTTGTGTGTTTGACCAAAACTCAGGGCTCTGTTGGGTTCTTGATGTATGCTGATTTGCTGGGGCATATAGGACCATGAACATCTTGAACTATAAGGTATGGAGGTAAAGCCCTCTGCTTTGTGAGTGTCACTTTTGCAGTGTTTGTCCAGGTTGTCATTGCCTTTTTTATACGCACAAGTCTGACTTAGCTATGCTTCAAGTGACAGAGACCTAGCTCAGCGCAGCAGCAGGAGACAAGGGGATTGATTGGCTTTCATGACTGGGAGGGACAAGGAGGGGCTGACTCAAGCTGGCAATGTCATCTGTCCTCTGACGTCTTCTTGCATTGGGGGTGACATTTCTGTGCTTATTCTCTCCATTTCAGATACTCCCCAGAGGCAAGACATCCACCCCCACCCCTATTACAGTTAAGACTGTTCTGAGGAGGATCCAGATTGGCTGAGCCCATCCTAGACTCCTCTCTGTGGCCAGGGTCATGGTCATGGTCATGGCCCCCATGACAGAGAACAAATCAGGGCGAATGCCTAGACCCACATCATCGTCCTTGACATCCTCTTACTCCATTACAACGGCAGTTCTATTGTCGGCTTTCCATTTCCCCTTCTTATGTCTGTCTGACTGTATTTGCTTCTGCGGTACAATTCTTACATATAAGACCAGTACCCTGTGCTGCTTTTTTCTTTTTTTAATATATTTTTATTTATTTCAGAGAGGAAGGGAGAGAGAGATAGAAACATCAATGATGAGAGAGAATCATTGATTGGCTGCCTCCTGCACACGCCCTATTGGGGATTGAGCTGGCAACCCGGGCATGTGCCCTTCACCGGAATCGACCTGGGACCCTTCAGTCCACAGGCCGACACTCTATCCACTGAGCAAAACTGGCTAGGGCTACCCTGTGCTTCTTGATCACCAGGTTATAAGTGCTGAAAACCTCATCTAAGTGAACACTATGGTCATGCTAGAAATGCTTGGAAGCACCCAGGAGAGGCCGAGCTGTCTTGGGCCTCTTATTGATAGGTATGGGGCATGCTGATGTCAGCTGCTGCTTGATTGAGAGATTATAGGGAAATCTGAAGACTGAGCCAGGACAGGCCATTCATATGGAAAAGCCGCTGCAAACAGCTTGGATGGGACTGCAAATTGGATGGGACAGGGTCTCAGGGAATCACCAGGGCAGATAAAACAGTGAGCCAGGCTGATGGAAACTCAGGTATGACCGTCGGTCAGCTCTGCGATGGGGGAGGTCTCAGCATGGAAACAATGGCCCCTACAAGCACCTCTGTCTAGGAGAGAGCCACCCCCAAGTTCTTGCTCTGATGCCAGATAATACAGTTCCTCGCCATATGTCCCTGGATCCCCCAAGCCATTGCCTCAGTGCTGGAGCTCAAAGGGAGCAAGTCCATGTAAGTTCGTGTGCCAATCCTTTAAGAGGAACTGCCTGGGTCTCCAGCAGCTTCTGGCACATTCAGCCACAATCCCTACTAGTTTTTACAGCATGAAGTTATGGGGGCTTCTCTTCCCAGCTCTGGAATGCTGGGCTGGGGACCTGGTGTGGGGCTAGGACCCCTTGCTCCTCACGGAAGGCCTCTGCAGCCAATATGTCCCTCCTGATTGAAAAAAATGCCACACGTGGGTGTCAGACCAACGCGTTTCATGCCTCCCTTCTACCAGTCTCCGTGTGCTTTCTTTACTTCTATATTGTAGCACTTCCATTCAGCCAGCTTTCAGGAGGTTCTGAATGATGGTGGTTCCGTTTTTTAGTTGTATTTTGATGTGGTTGTGGGAGGTGGTGAGCATTGGCATTTACCTACACTGCCATCTTGGTTCTCCCTTAACTTTTCACTTTGAAACAATTTTAGACCTGGAAAAAGTTGCAAAAAAGCACAAAGAACTTCACATGCCCTTTACTCTGCTTCCCCGATGTTCACATAACTGCAGTATGGCCTATGGATGAGGAGAATCAATGTGGGTACAATACCTTCACTGACCTGAAGGCCTTACTCAGGCTGAGCTGGCATTCCCACAGACACCCTTTTTGGATCAGGATCCCGCATGGCATTTAGTTGTCATGACTGCTGAGTCCTGGAACAGGTCGTCGGTTTCCTTTTCCCCCACTCTTCATGATCCTGACACTTTGGAAGGCTCCTAAGCTGTTAGTTTGTGGGCTTCGTAAGGCTTGCCTCCTCATGATTCCATTTTCTTTTTAAGGATAAAATAAGGTTTTATTTATAGTCTTCTAGTAAAGGGGGCTGATTTGATTTTCATTCTGCATTTTTGCTAGGAGCACCGCAGGAGTGTTGTGCTGCCTTGGAGCATCCTATCCGGAGTGCAGGGTGCAGTCCACCTCAGTCCTGGTGGTGTGAATGTGCATCTCCTAGGTCAGCGGTTCTCAACCTGGGGGTCGAACGACCCTTTCACAGGGGTCTCCTAAGACCATCGGAAAACACATATATAATTACATATTGTTTTTGTGATTAATCACTATGCTTTAATTATGTTCAGTTTGTAACAATGAAATTGGGGGTCACCACAACATGAGGAACTGTATTAAAGGGCCGGGGCATTAGGAAGGTTGAGAACCACTGTCCTAGGTTCTCCATCGCCAAGTTATTTTTAACTTTGATGCTGAGTCAACACCCTGTTTCTCATTGTTCTTCCACTAATTTTAGCCACCATTGCAGCAGCTTCCCTGAAATAACTGTTACAATGATGTTTGCCCCGTGATGATCTTCTGACTCCATTATTTCTACATTTATTAATTGGAAACCCAGTGCAAGAAAAAGTGCTCCCTTCTCCAATTATGTATTTATTTGGCTTTTAATATTTTTATGGACTCAGGGATATTTAGACTGTTCTATAGGTCATAACCCATTGTTATCATTGTTATGTTTTCCCTTTTATTTTTCATTTACGGTTGACATTATCATTGTTGATTTTGTTGCTCAAATTGTTCTAGATTTGGCCATTTATAACATCTTCAGGTTGGCTTCTGTGTGCTTTCAGCACATTCCTATTATACTTTGAGCATGTCCTCACTTCTGGCACCACAAGATATTCCAGATTCACCTGGTACTTTCCTTGCCCCAGATCTGGGAGCATCCATTTCTCCAAAGAGCCCTGGTTCCCTTTGGAAAGTGGGATTTAGAAGCTAAGGATGTTTGTTGATGCTGGGGTGCCATTACCTCTAGGCCCTTCACAGTACTTTTTACTGGCTTGGTTCTGATGAGGGTATCAACAATAGGCTCCCATGATCATACCTGAAACAACACAGATGGTGACTGTGTTCCCTAGAACATAAATTCTTTTCTGAAAATCTAAGATGTGTTCGGCTTTTGCGTGGAGGTATTGAAGAATGGACAGTTCATAGATGTACCACATTCTGAGCATAGTCTGTGTGATTCTCTTACTAAATGTCCAAATTTGCTATCCCTATTCAAATATAGAATATATTTTATGTGGTGAAAGTGCTGAGGGTGCTTCTGAATGGTCAGTGTCTTGTATTTTAAGATGCAGATGCACAACCCTCTGAACAGCCGGTCATGTTCTGTTCTGATGAGTGTTTCACAGAGCTGTCTCGTTCAGGGTCTCCAAAGAACTATAGAAATTGAACCATTTGAGTAATAAGCTTTATGTTTTTCCTGCTCTACGGACCTGCCTCTTTGATATTCACTGCTTTGAGAGTTCTATCCCTCTGTTTCCATTGCTGCTCTAGCCGTTACTCTGATGAAAATCCGAATTCTAGGGAAGCAAGGTTGAAGTTGATGCACAAATACGAGCTGTGAAGAACACTTGATTGGTCACAGTGGTCCCCTTTCTCTGGAAATGTCTGCGTCGTACAGAAGGCTGCCTTGTTTTAACCTCTGTGCTTTTACCATGGGCTTATTTTCCAGCATGGAAAAGACTTTGAAGCAATCCAGAACAACATAGCTCTCAAGTATAAGAAGAAGGGCAAGCCCGCCAGCATGGTGAAGAACAAAGAGCAAGTGAGGCACTTCTACTACCGCACGTGGCACAAGATCACCAAGTACATCGACTTTGACAATGGTGAGCGCTCCAGGCCCAGCATCTGGGGACGCGGGGGGCAGGGTGGGAATCTGGTCAGGAGCAGCTTTTGAAAGATCACAGGACACTGTCTGGTGTCATTCTTGCCCAGCCACTTAAAAAAATATATTTATATTAATATAATGTTAATGTATTAATATTTATTTTTAAATATACTTTCATATATTTAACATTAAGAAAAATAATTCAAGTGATGGTGGGCAAAAAAGGGAAAATTTAAAGTGAGACGTCTGTCTGCTGTTCTAGTCTTAACTTAAGTATCACAGTCAACTTACTTTATTTTGGAAGAGAAGATGTAAAAGTTTTTTTCAATCATTCAGCAGGCAAGTATAGCCACTTATAAAAATTGAAGGGTGGGGACAGAGTAGGATATGAAAGTCAGAGGTGAAAGGGTAGAGCCAGAAAGAAATTTTCAAAATAAAATTAACAAGGTGACTGTTCCAGAAGAGGGCTGTGAAGAGGACATGGTGGATCAGTCTGTTGGTCAAGTAATGATTCAACTTTTAAATTATCCTCTTGTTTTTTGTTGGGTTTCTTCTTTGTTCAAATCTGAGACTTAGAGATGTTGACCCTTTGTTACAAGAGCCAACAGGAAATACAGGATCCCTTCCCTCCCTCTGCCTGCCTCTGCTGAAGCCGCCAACTATCGCCTCCTTGGCTGGATGCTGGAAGAGTCCTCCATGTCTGTGGACTCAGGACGACAGGGCAGCCTCCCCCTGTGGTTGCTGGGCTTGTGAACGCTGCAGTACCTTTTGGCTTTCCACATCTCTAACATGTTTTCCAACTATTTTGTGTACATGGCTCAGTGCACTCTCCTCTTTGCTTTACGGGTTTCCACTTGATATGAGGGTGTAATAACAGCTTCTTCCATGACTGTGATGTTTTTTTCTTGCCATTTAAAGTCGTTAATGGTCTTGTGAATGGTCTGGAAGAGCTGCTGGCCCTCCAGAGAGACACCAGCGCTGACTGCATAGGCCTGGCTCAGTTTTCCTCCTCTGTCCATGCTTTGCTGGCAAGTTTACTAACATTGGGTGATGCTAGGGGAGGAAGAGTTTCTGTTGGGTCATTAATTATTTCCACTTTTGAAACATATTATAACTTTATGACCAAGATGTCTACATGCTCGGGCTTTCCACTAGAAGAGGGACATTTTAAAGCCAGCATTTTGGATTGGCAGTCAAAGGGTATTGCCCTGCCCTGAAGCCACTGCTTCTGGCATGTCTGGCAGGACACCTGGCCCTAATGCCGAAGTATTTGCCCGGAGGAGCCACCATCTTGGGAGAGCAGCTGTGGCTCGTGGCAGCTGCAGCGGGCAAAAGCCGGGCGCCCAGTGAGCACTGCCACGCCGGCCAGGCCAGTTTCACTTTCTTTAACCTTACTCTTCATTTCTACAGTTGTGGTCATGGGCCATTCATTCCAGACATTTGCTTTTACTGACTTCACTTCTTTCTGATGCTTCTCTTCAAATAATACTTTTGATCCAGAATATGAGCCCTGGCTGGTGTGTTCAGTGGTTAGAGTGTAGCCCTGCTCAAGGAAGGGTCTCGGGTTCAATTCCTGGTCAAGGGCATGTACCTGGGTTGCAGGTTGATCCCTGGCCCCTGTTGGGACGCATGCAGAAGGCAACCAGTTGATGTGTTTCTCTCACATTGATATTTTTCTCTCCCCCCCCCCCCCCCCCACCTTTCTTCCCTTCCACTCTCTAAAAATCAGTGGAAAAAATATCCTTGGGTAAGGATTAACAGAAACAAAAAACTGTGATAGCTGCAGTCAGATCACTCCCCCTTTGCACCTGTGCTGTGAGTCCTTCATGGCAGCCTTCTCTCCCTCTCGGTCCCCTCTCTGCCCTGCCCTCTGGTGTTCTCCTGGCCTGGTCAGTGTGTGTTGGCCAACTGGAGTAATCAGGACGGACCCATCAGGATGCCAGGACCAGGACTCCCTCCTCCAGCTTTAGAAAGACCCGGAGAGCTTGGATCAAGCTGTCTCTTTTTTTGGTAAAGGGTCAGATGATAAATATTTTTGGCTTTTGGGGATTTACAGTCTTTATCAAAATGACTTCACTCTCCTGTCTTAGCTCATTGTAGATCCCATGTAAAGGAATGCATGTTACTGTGTTCCAGCAAAACGTTTATTTACAGAAAGAGGCCCCGGGCAGGATTTGGCCTGTGACCCTGCCCTGGAGAAATTGGTTTGGGGGCCGCAAGCTCCAGGCAGTCATAGTAGTTAGCTGTCACTTTCTCTGAGTAGATTTCCCTTTGAATCTTCATGGACATCTCACCCACCAGTCATGGTTTCGCTCGGTCTACGTCAGAGCTTTTCAGACCTGTCCTCCCCACCTGTCCCCCTAGGTCCTTTCCTAGGTCATTGCTGTTCTCCCTCTTTCTGGTCTTGTTCTTCCCCAACCCACCCTCCACATAGCTTTATCCACACAATAGACCCATGTCTGCCTGTCCCCCCGCCTGAGCCCCCCTCCCCATGCCCTGTCCCATACCCTCATCCTACCTGCCTTGGCTCCCAGGATGGGGTTGCCACCCTCCTGCTAACCTGCACTTCCTTTTGTGTCTTGACTCCTGCCACCCTACTCTGTTGTCCTCCCTAATCCCATTCACCTTCCAAGACTCAGCTCCTATGTCAGTGCTCTCAAAAATCCTTCCGTGAATTCCCATGCCCTCACTGCCACCTCATCATCTCATCATGGGCCTACTTTGTGCCCATCATTGAGCACATTTCATACTTTTCCCTGGGAGTGCTGTCACCCTCACTGCAGATGAGAAAACCCTGGCTTAGCATTGGAGGCCCTGGCCCAAGCCACCCAGACAATAAGCTGAGGGGCTGTGCTCCATCAGCCATCATCCACTCACCTTTATCTTCTGTAAATGTAATGTTTTCAGACCATCTCTTCATGTTGCCATAGAATTTCCCCATGTTTTTCATGAAATGTTAATTCTTTGAGTTGACGTTTTTAAGTGAATAAGCTACCTTTCCTTTTGGACTTACAATCCACTTCTAGTGTTTTTAATTTATTTTTTAATGAGTTACTCTTTTCTTTTTAAAAAGTAATTAATTTTCGAGAAAGAAAGGAAAGGGGAGAGAAAGATAAAAACTTCCATTTGTTGTTCCACTTATTTATGCAGGCATTGGTTGATTCTTGTATGTACCCTGACGGGATCAAACCTGTTGGGCAACCTTGGCATAGCAGGACAAGCTCTAACCAGTGAGCTACTCGGCCAGGCCACTTCCAGTGTTTTTAGAATAATGCAAATGTGGACAGCTCTTTTCATACAGCCCTCTGTTCCTTCAGATGTACTTCCTTTAAGTAACCTCGTACAGTTGGGATAGCTAAGTCTGTGTGGCACACGGGAATTAGTTTTAGCTCTTTGGCTCTTTCTATGTTGTCTTTTACATCATTCTTTTTGTTTGTTTGTTACATATATTCTTTAGTTACTTTCTGAAAGTCAGTCTGTCTCATCTTGAGCGTCTTGTCATGAGCGCTGTCTTCTGGAAGGATGAATGTCCAGCCTGCTGGCCTGGTGTCCGTCTGCTGCTTGCCGTGTTTCCCATCTGTCTGTCCTTGATAAAGGCAGGAAGGAGCACCTGGCACTCAAGTGCATTCTTCTCACAGCAAGTTCCATCTTCACAGCAACACCCTATAGAAAGAGCCTTTTCTCTGCTGAGCTAGGTTATGGCTCCAGCAGGTTCTGTCTGGCCAGGAATGCCTTGTTTATCACTAGTCATTTTAAGGTATTTTTCCGGTGTCAAAGCCTTCCACTAGCCACCTCATGCTGTCCTCGTTCCAGTCCTTTCAGAGGACGGGTCTCAGGGTTTGCTTATGTGACCAGGAGACTGCCTTAGAGGAGGGCTCACCATCCCAACTCCAGTTCCTCTAGTTGCAGGGGCCTCCTAGCCAGCCTGTTATCTTTGCGGGGGAAACACAACACAAACAAAACATTGTATCGAAGACTTTTAACAGCATATCTGTTTGTGAGATTGCCACTTTCTACAGACCCACGGAAATGGGCCGTCGGTGTCCACTTTTGGGGGGCAGTTCCTAGGTTTGACTCGGAGGTCCTTCACTAATGTTTTTATTGGTTTGCTTTCAGTGTCCACAAGACCATTAACATACGATTCTCTGCTGGCTTTGGTGTATTGGGGCAAGTTAGCAACGTTTTGTTCTTCCTCAGGTTGGCAGCACAGTGTCTGTATCTGTGCTGCTGTGCTCAGCCATAGTTGTCACTGTTTCTCAGATCACTAGCTTATTTGAAATATCAACGCTGGTCGGGATCCTACTGAGTCCAGTGCTGTTACTAATATCTGTGGTCTTCACAGACAACCTCCCTACCTTTCTGGGTGTCACTCGGGAATAAGTTTTAGCTGTTTGGCTCTTTCCATGTTGTCTTTTACATCTTCCTTTTTTTGTTACATATCGTATTCTTGGGTGACTTTCTGAAGGAGTGCAGGCCCTTCATCCACTTGGGCTCCCCTGGGAAAGCTCTCTTCCAATGAGAAAGGCGGGCACCAGTGTGTGAGGATTGGGAAGCTGCTGGTGATAAAGTGTGGAGGCAGGGTGAGAAGACTCCAGGAGCTGTGAACTAGCATGTTCTGTCCTTTCAGCGTGACCATGCTACTGGCAGAGTGGGCGTGTTGCAGGGGACGCTCAGATTCCCAGTGTAGACGTGAGCCCTCTTCAGCCCTTCTTCCGGCTCAGGGATGAAGAGCAGATGTGTGTGCTGCCCTCAAGTTCTGTTCCCACGCTGCACCTTGGTTCCATGGCAAGCTCTGCAGGATAGACCCAACATGCCTTCCTACCCTCCCTCCCTCCCTCCCTCCCTCCCTCCCTCCCTCCCTCCCTCCCTCCCTCCTTCCCTCCTTCCCTCCCTCCCTCCCTTCGTGTTTCCCTTTCTCCCTCCTCTCCATCTCCTGCCTTCTTGGCACCTCATAATGTCTATTTGCTGGTGTTGTCCTGATGTGCCCTCACGAGGAGTGCCTTCTTTCTGTTGAGCTGATGGCTCTGCTGAGGTTCTCCAGCTGGTCCTGATAATGTCTCTAAGGTGGTGACAGCCAGTTGACCATGTAGAGCCCACGGGCCCATCTGCCTCTTTGTGCTGCCCTGGCATTTGCACCAGGGCTTGGCCCTGTCTAGCCATTTCTCAGCCCCTCTCCCAGCCCTGGATTTCTGCCTCTGGATTTGCCTATGCTGGACATTTCATGTAAAAGGAATCATGTGGCCTTTGTATCTGGCTTCTTTTACTTAGGATGTTTTCCAGGTTCATTCAGGTTGGAGCATGTCAGAACTTCATTCTTATGGGTGAATAATATTCCATTGTCAGGAAAGAATATATTTGTTTATTCGTTGAATAGTGGATCTTAAGGTGTCCTGAGTTTTGGTCCCCTGTGAGAGTCCGATGAGATCTGTGAGTCTTTCAGGAGAACATTCCCGAACGGTTAGTGTGTGAAGTTGACAGAGTCCTCGGCTCCTTAGAGCCTGTCAAAGGTTCAAAATCCTTGTTTTAGATTATTTATTGCAAGACTTATTCTTCATTTGCTAATATATTTTTCTTTTCCTTTTCTGTGATTATACTCACACACAGCTGAATGTTAGGACTTCGAAAAGGGGTCCCTGAGGGTAAAGGACAAATGACATGGGTTGCTGCTCTGAGATGATCTAAAACAGTGGTTCTCAACCTGTGGGTCACGACCCCTTTGGGGGTCGAACGACCCTTTCACAGGGGTCGCCTAAGACCATCGGAAAACACGTATATAATTACATATTGTTTTTGTGATTAATCACTATGCTTTAATTATGTTCAATTTGTAACAATGAAATTGGGGGTCACCACAACATGAGGAACTGTATTAAAGGGTCGCGGCATTAGGAAGGTTGAGAACCACTGATCTAAAAGGTACACAGACTGTGCTGTAGCTGGGCTTCCAAATCACAATTAGATTTGGCTTCACAGAATACAAAAACTCAAAATAACAGGGTCTTAATCATGTCAAATTTTATTTTCTCATATTGGAGCGGCCTGCAGTGGGTGGTCCAGGGCAGGCACCAAGGACCCAGGTCCTCCTGTCTTTCTGCTCTGCCATCCCTAGCACTTTGCTGTGACTAAGATGACTCCAGAAAGCAGTTCTGAAGGAAAAATAAGCATAATTCTGCCCTAATCAGCCTCTTAAGGAACCTTTCAGAAGTCTCCCGCTACACTTCTGCTCCATCCAATGGCTGGGGCTTAGCGGTGCAGCCATGCCTTACCCATATGTGTTGCTTCCCAAATACAGGTGGGCCTGCTATGAGGGAACAGTGGAGAGTGGGTATTAGCAGTCTCGAGCACTGGAGCTATGGTTCTAGCCCCAGACCCAGGTCACACAGATCAGTGGTCAGAGGAGACACGACAGGTCAGCTTCCACAGTTCCAGGTCTGCCCGCCTCACACAGGGCTCAGGCTAATTCTGCAAATATGGAGAGAAGAGGATGACAAGCTTGGTGATGGTCATGTCCCAGCTCCTCTGCTTCCTTGGGAACCGGCTGTGTTGAGCGTCCCATTTTCCTCCTCCCAGGGGACATTGATCTGCCTGTTAGGACTAATTTTCTTCGCCGCCCCCCCCCCCATTTTTTTCTGGTTTTAACTTTTTATTTTGAAAATTACCAAAATAGCACTGTGCTCCCGTATACTCTTTGCCCATCTCCCCTGATGCTGATATTCTGTAGTTCCAAGGTGCAGTAGGCAAAGCCGAGGAATCAGCAGTGTGGAATGCTCCCCCAGCACTGTTTCTGTGCACAGGAGCTGGCAAGCTCCGGAACAGCTGTGTTTTTCCCTCTTCTAAAACCTTATCATTCCTGTCTTTCATTTTAGTGTTCTCTCGAGGGCTGAAGAAGTCATCTCAGGAGCTGTATGGTCTGATCTGCTACGGCGAACTGCGCAAGAAGATTGGGGGCTGTGAGTACGAGCTGCCACAAGGCGGGGCCTGCTGTCCTGGCACTATTGGGTCTTGGTCCCAGTGGCTCTTCTGTTTTCCCTCCAACTTTTGTCTTAAACATTTTAATATACGGAAACAATGAAGAAGAATGTAATGACTGCCAAATACCTGCACTTAAACTTCCCAGTTGGTAACCTTTGTTACATTTATATGTACAGTCGCCCCCTTTCATCTCTCCCTTCACATACTTGCTTGTTTTCTGCTCAGCCATTGGACTTTAAGTTGCAGACATCCTAGCACACCCCTAAGTCCCTCCCCCTCTGTCACCTGAGAACAGGACATTCTCCTGCATACCTACAGCCGTATTATTACACCCAACACATTTCACATTTATCAGACAGGGACCACAATCTTACCTAATATCCTGCCCATATTCAGATTTCCCAGCACGCCCCAGTATGCCAGCTGGGCACCTGTTGAGGACATTGCCCTGCTCGTAGCTGTGGTGTCCCTTAAGTCTTTTGACCTAGAAAAGCCCCCACTTTTTGGTCTTTAGTAACACTGGTACTTTGAAGGGTTAGGGCCCCTCCCTTTGCACTGTTCCAATCCTCTCCTTGTGACTAGATTCCCTTCAGATGTAGAGGGTGCTCTTGCCTTCCTTGGACACCTGTGCCCACTGCCTTGCATCCCTACCTTGCTTCCTCATGTGGCCACAGACAAGAGGGCGCACCCTTGCCTCTGCACATTCCACTTGTCTGCCTGTCACACATCCACAGAGCCACTCTGAAGGTTAAATGCGATCATATGAGATGACCATAGCCACCATCTTACCAGCCACTTACTTAACATGTCACTGCTGAATGGGCAGGTGGCTGGGGGTGTGGAAGCAGCAGAAGGTTGGGGATGATGGGCAGTCACTGATTGCTCTGCACATCTGGCCTGTGTTGGGTGACCTCCCCTCTCCTAAAACAGGCAAGAATGTGTAAGAGGCTCTAAATGGAACAAGTGTCTGGTTCCCTACCCTGTCCTCTCCACAGTCTGAGGACTTCTTTGTAAATCCCTCCCAGCTTCTGCTTTGAATGGTCTGTTCAGAGGGACTATTGGGCCGCATCTCCCTTGAGTCTCTACTTTCTCTTCTGCGTCCTTCTCTCTGCCCTAAACCTAAAGTGTTTCTTTTCATGGCATTGTGTGGGTACCACCTGCTTTGTTAATGATCCATGACCACTCCTCCATCCCTGCCACATCTGAGCCGATCAGCCAGAGCCTCTCAGCCAGTCTCTGATTGCATAGGAATCATCCTGTCGTTGGCTCCATGCCCCTGGGTTATCACCTGGCCCCTGACCCAAGGGGCCTCCGCATTTGGACTTGAGCTCATCTCCATGCTGGGCAACCCTCCAGCTTGGCTGCTCCTTTCCTGATGGTAATGCCTGGTCATCTGTCTCAGCCCAGTTACATGTCACACATGCACATGTTTAGACACACATATACACATTCACACACACAACCTGGTGTGGCTTTTCCCTCTGATCCCCCACCCACTGATGCAAATGGTGGGACGCTGTTGTGTCATTTCGTGAATCTTTGGTGAAGGACATGCTTCCACTTGCAGCCTTCTGCAGAGTGCCCTGTACGGGGCCGCCTCTCATACCTGCTTAGTGGTAATGCTTTCTGGGATGTTCAGGAGGTCAGAGCTCGCTTTTTATTCATTCCTTTTTCTAACTGAGATATCCAGGCATATGCAAATCTTGAAATAGTAGACTTTGAGTCCCTGCTGTATTTCAGGGACTTTGACACATATTACCTTGTGTAAAGCATCGTAACAGCTGTGTGAGATGGCATTGTTCCTGTCTGAAAAGGGGGCTGAGGACATTCCATTTTGATGAAAAACTAATGACTTCAAGCCTCCTTAGCTATTAAGTGACAAGGTTCCATGCTGCCTCCAGTCCTGATTTTTACACCGATGCTATTCCATCTGCCACAGCACCATTGTCAGGACAGGGTGAGGGGGGGACACTGGTTGCCTGTAGTACTCACCAGTTTGCTCAGACTGCTCTTTTTGAAGGACAGTTTTTTGGACCGTGCCCCATTTGGTGACTCAGACCCTAAAGTTGGGGTGGTGCCAGCCTTCTGTCTATCTTTCCCACCAGCTGGACACAGGGTGATGGGCCTTCTGTCTGTCTGTCCCACCAGCCGGACACAGGATGATGGGCCTTTTCCTCCCCTTTACCTATGAACTCCTTTGATCTTAGCTCAAATGTTCACAAATCTCCACAACAGGCTGGACCACTATGTCACACATTCTCAGCACTCCAGACCCTCCCTCCATGAAGCATCACAACTGCCTTTACACTCATGAGTGCTTGTTTGATTTATGCCCATCTGAAGGCAGGTCTGTGTGTGACCTCTTTGTCAGTGAGCAAGTCTATAAGTTCGCCCTTTCTGGGGCTGTGCCTTCCTTCCTGAAGATCCATTTCATCTGGTACTGTTTGTCTTCAGCCTACCGAACTTTTTTTAATGTTCTTTGTGTAATTGTGTTGGCCATGAATTCTTGTAGTTATTTATTTATCTGAAAAGTCTTTATTCTTAAGATACTTTTGCTGGGTGTAGAATTCTGATTGAAAGGTGTTTTATTTAAAAATATATTTTTATTGATTTCAGAGAGGAAGGGAGAGAGAGAGAGATAAAAACATCAATGATGAGAGAGAATTATTGATTGGCTGCTCCTGCACCCCCCCACCCCGCAACTGGGGATTTGAGCCTGCAACCCAGGCATGTGCCCTTGACCAGAATCAAACCCTGGACCCTTCAGTCCACAGGCTGATGCTCTATCCACTGAGCCAAACCAGTTAGGGCTGAAAGGTTTTTTCTTCCATCACTTTAAAGATGTTCTACTGTCTCTGGCTTACACGGTTTCTGGTGAGAGGTCACATCTGTGTCCTGGTTCCTCTGGAAGAGATGTTCTTTTCTTTCTCTGGCTGCTTTTAAGGTTTGGTCCTTGTCTTTGGTTTTTAGTCTGGCTGTGTGTTTATGGCTTGTGCCCTTCTCCCTCCCTCCCCCCTCCCCCCGAAAAAAAATATAGAATCATTCAAAGACTTTACAGTGAGCACCCAAACATCTACCGCCTAGATTCTCCCATTACCTGGTTACCTGACTTGGTTTCCACATGTCCTGAGGACAGTACTAAGTACCAGGAGGGCAGAGGAAATGTGCAGTATCTGAGCTGATCATCCAGCGGACCCTGGGACCTAGGGCTTAAAGCTGACTAAGGCAGGCCCGCAGGTAACTAGAGGCCAGCAGGAGAAATGTGCACAGTGGTTACTTGAGGAAGGAGCCTCTAAACTAGCAGTTGAGGACCAGTGGAGGTTCAGCATAGCCCAGGGGTCTGAGGTTTTTGGGAGGAGTGATCATCTGTGCAGAGGCAGATAGTAGTCCCAGGAGAAAGTCTAGGTGTGTGGAGAGGACATGCAGGTGACGCCTTGTTCTGACTTTGCGGGCGGGGCTGCAGCTAACATAGGGGTTTTATTTGGAAGACCTTAAATATTCTGTTTGGATTCTATAAGAAAGTAATTATATCTTTACCAGTTTTGCTCCTAACTGCTCCAAGGTCATGTCTGTTTCTTTTTCTGTTTAAAGGTATGGATGACAAGAATGCCACGAAGTTGAATGAGCTCATTCAGGTTGGGTAAGTACAAATTACATTATGAGACACCACCTGCTCATGTTGGGTGTTTGCATTGTTCTCTGAAATACAGAACTAGAAATACTCATCTGTCCCTCCCACTCACCCCACCAGAGCTTCTGCACTTTCACCCGGACCACTCCGTTCCTTGTCTTAGGTCATCTCCCCCACCACCCAAGATCTCTGCTGGTCAAAGCTCAGCTGTCCTGTAGGTCGAACTCTCTCCTGGAACAGTCTTCACTGGCCTCTGCTGTATCCAGAGCATCGCCTTCCTGTACCTCTGGTTCTTGTCTCCCCCAGCCCGGGGTTGGACGGCCTGTGAGCCCCTGTTTCTCAGGTGTGAGCTCCTGCTAGGTGGGGCTCGCTGCATATGCTTCTGTTCAGGCTCCAGCCCAGCAGGGATTCTCTTACAGATGCTCATGTTGCATTCTCAAGGCTTTATTTCTATGAACTGCTACCCTTTTGCAGCCAGTCATGATAGTAACTAGGATGTAGATATCACCACCATGTGAAAGAGCAGACCCACTCCAATCGCCAGGAGTGTAGGCAGTCTTAACTACTGGTGGTGTTGGGCAAACGGAGCCTCCTGGATGTGTGTGGGGTATGATTAGGCAAGTAGGAAGAGGCCACTTGCCATGGCCTTGTGGATCTTTTGTCACCTCCCCAGCCCATTTACCTGTTGTAGCTTCAGCATCCCATATTCCTTCCCACCCTTACACCTGCCCTGCATTTGTCAGGTGGAAGCTGTATTTGCTCCAACTTTAAACATTTTTCTCCTGGGCACATCTTCAGGAGAGGAGATGGTAAGTGTGTGCCTAACTCTATATGGAACTGCCAGAACTTTCCAGGGAGAGTTCCATTAGCTCCTTTTGAACCATCCTAGTGGGTATGAAGTGGTGTTTCATTGTGTGTGTTTTTGTTGATTGCAGAGAGGAAGGGGAGGGAGGGAGATAGAAACATCAATGATGAGAGAGAATCATTGATTGGCTACCTCCTGCACGCCATACTGGGGATGGAGCCTGTAACCTGGGCATGTGCCCTGACCGGGAATCTAGCCATGACCTCCTAGTTCATATGTCAATACTGAACCACTGAGCCACACTGGCTGGGCTCATTGTGGTTTTGATTAGCATTTCCCCAATAACTAGTGATGTTGAGCATCTTTCCTGTGCTTCTTTACTATTTTTATTTCTTCTTTGGTGAAGTGTTTGTTCAAATCTTGTACCTGTTTTCTTATGTTTGAGTTTAGAGAGTTCTTTATATATTCTAGACCAGCAGTCCGGGAGGTTCCAAAGGTTGGCGATCGCTGTTCTAGACACCAGTCTTTTATCAGATAGGTGATTTGTAAATATTTTCTTCCACTCTGTAACTTGTCTCATCATCTCTTTACTAGTGTCTTTCAAAGGGCAGAGTATTTAATTTTGAATAGATCCAATTTGCCATCCTTTGCTTTTGTGGACTAACCTGTTGTAGCTAAGAACCCTTTGCCTACTAAGTTCACAAAGATGTTGGCCTGTTTCCTTCTAAAAGATTTATAGTTTGACGTTTAAATCCATGCCCTACTTTGGATTTTTTTTTTATATGATGTAAAGTTTATACCTAGGTTTATATTTTTGGCCTATGGGTGTCCAGTTGTCCCAGCCTTTTCTGTAGAAAGGACTGTCATCTAAGGTCAATTGACCGTACTAAGTGTGTCTTTTTCAAGACCTTTAATTCTGTTCTATTGATTTGTGTCCATTCTTTCACCAATAGACACAAGATTTTTAGTACAAAGCAAAAAGCTTGTAAAGGTGAAACAGATGCGGGGAAATTAGTACAGTGCCTTGATTTAAGACCAAAAAGCATTGCGTTTAACCAACTTCCTGTCTGTGCTTCTCCTGCAGACTTTTTTCAATTAACTGTGGATCTCCTTTTGTTATAAAATTATAGAATTAGATAAAAGAGTAAATGAATTGAGAAAAGCTCCAAAATTAAATCATATTACATTGGTCACAGACCCAGCAGCATGCTTATTGGGTTTATCAAATAACTTTGCAGAGAAGAAAATAAACCTCTCAGGATGGAAAGCCAGACTCCCACGCACTGACAGGACTTATTCTGCTGCCTGTTTTGTCAAAGTAACACTCAAGTGCAGGGGTTCAGATAGAACCCTCTGTTTTGTTACTTTCCATCAGAGGCCAAGCTGGCCTGGCCTGTCAGTAGTCTCGCCTGTCTTCCCGCCATGGGGCTGGTGTATGAGGGTGGGGAGTGCAGATCATGTCGCAGGACCGGGGCCAGGCCTTGAGGGGCCTTTTCTGTGTGAGCTTGAACATGGCTTTACCTTGTACAGGCTCCAAACTCAGGTTGCCATAGAACTTCCATTTGAGAGAAAAGGAAAGGAATTGTATTCTCAGGATGGTTATTTAGTCACAAAAAGAGGACTGCTCAATTTCACTTTTTTTTTTTAAAAAAAAAAGGAAGTCACAAAATAGCAGTTTAACGGAAAATGTGATCATCACAAACACAGGTGCCACATGACACAGCTCCACCTGCTCTTTAAGTCTTGCCTGCTACTGTTTTGTTTTGTTTGGGGGCAGATGTAACAAAAAGTGATGATGAGCAGGAAAGTCCACTTGTCCCCAGAGCCCTTTATTGGAGGAGGTTCTTTTAAGATTCGACTTGGTGCTCAATTACTGCTGTTTTAAAGCTCTCCTCCCAGTTCCCTCTTCAGTAGCACCTTGTGGCCCTGGATCGCCCATGAGTTCAGGTGGCTAAAACTCAAGCTTTGGTCTCAGTGGAGTGGAGTGGTGGTTCATGTGGACTCTCATCCTCTCTGAATTGCTCCTCCTGACAGAATTGGGGGGGGGGGGGGGCGGGCACGGAGGGCTGGCTTCATGGGGCCACAGCTGGGAGTTAGCCAATTAGAAAAGTTGGTTAAAATAGAGTCATAAAACTTCATGACACCCATTACTGAGCACAACATGGGCAAACCTCCCTGTTGTGTGGATGCTGGAGAACAGGAACATAAACCTTTCCTGCCCATGGTTTCTCTTCCCCTGTCTGCAAATCCACTTGCTAAGGTGACTTGGTTTTAAATAGAAATAAAAAGAATAGGTTATATGTTTGCCTCTAGAAAACAGACAAACAAAAAACAGTTATAAAACAATATACACGGACCTTGAAACTTTTGTAAAACAGAAACCTACATTTGCTTACCAGACACAGCTGGCTGGCCAAGGCCTTTTCTTTGACGGGGCCCATCCTCAGAGTTCTGGGTTGTTTTTATCTTAGAGGCGCTAGTCAAGATGCATCACTTGCGATGAACCGTTTTCAAGCGGAACGAGCATAGAAATGCACGGTAGTGGGGCTGCAGGGTGCTTCCAGTCACCCTCAGTCTTTCATAGTTGTCTTGCCTGCACTCACTTGACTGCCAATCTACCCTTATTGAGTAATTCCAAAGCATTCTAAATGTGTTTATTAGAAGAAACTATTTTTGTGGCTTTTGTACTCGTTTGTAGTATTTCTTTAATTCTAACACTATCTAAAGTCCTGCCACTGTCACTGGCATCTGTGACAGGCAGGCGTGAAGCAGGCCCACTGACTTGACGCCCGTGCCTGCTGGCTGTGAGTGCCCTACACCCCAGGTCCCAGTGTATGGTTTCCAGAGGTCCTGGGGGCTGCGGGACATTGCTGACGTGAAGATGTGGTCTCTGAGTTGGGCTGAGGTCACATAGAGATGTGTTGAAACCTACTCTCAAGGGGTCCTGTGGAGGAAGAGGAGAGAAGGGTACATCATCTGGTATCTGAGGGGGGCTCACTGTCATGGGCTTTCCAGGGGGTTGGACAGCAGCTGATGCCGCACCCATCACCAGGCAGGAGGCAGGGCACGTTTCCTGTGAATGACAGGCATCCCCTTTGCAGTGTGAGGTCTGAGTGGGAAAGTATTGGGCATCCAGAGCCATAGGGTTGAGCAGGAGCTCTGAAGGCCAGGATGGGCGCCCAGTCAGGGCCCTCCCTGCGCAGGACAGGGAGCTACTGTTCATTGAGAGGCCTCAGCATTTCTTTAAAAAATTTTCCCAGGGCCACCACAGTGCGTTACAAAGGAAGAAACCTGCGAATCAAAGCGCCCATGTGCCGAGCCCTGAAGAAACTCTGTGACCCAGACGGTATGTAGAGGGTGGGCCGGGTGGGGCTGGGGGCGTGTGTTCTCTGCTCCATTTAGCAATCGATAGGCTGAGCTCTGTGTCCGAGCATTCCTAAACCCATGAGCAATTCTTGGGTCCAAAGCAGTGTGTCCACTCACAGCATTCAGATGGAGTGTGAGTGATGGCAGGAGGGAGTCCTGTGGCCTCGTGTGGCCCAGTCATTGCCCCAGCTTTGCGGGTACCCTAGTGGCCATGTTGGCGCTTCTCTGGGCACAAGTTCTCGTGGGCCTCTCTGCCAGCTCTGCTTCGCCTCCCAGGCCATTTGTCCATGGCTCCTTCTGCCGAGTTGTCTGGCCAACCACGTTGCCTTCTGCATGGCAGTCTGTTGGCCAGGCTCTCACAGCCCTTCTTGTCGCAGGCCTGAGTGATGAAGAGGACCAGAAGCCAGTGCGTCTGCCCCTGAGAGTCCCCGTAGAGCTACAGCCACGGAACAATCATGCCTGGGCCCGCGTACAGAGCCTCTCCCAGAATCCCAGGCTCAGGTAACTGCCTTTGGAGTTCGGTGGGGAGCCAGCTAGGAGGGATGTGAACAGAGGGTGGTATATGGGTTCCCTCGTGGACCCCTGAGTGATGCTCCAAAATTACATGGGGGTAGGGTGAGGGTAGTGTACTGTTGGGGGCCTGGAGGCATGAGTCTCGCAGGCCAGGAGCGGATGTAGAAAGATGTCGTGATTAGCAAGTTGATGACTATAGCATTTTCCCCCATTCCCTTTCCATTGCCTCTTACCATTCCCTAAAGTTTGGTATCTGATTTGTGGATGACTCACCACGGTGAGTACAGACCATTTTCCAGTTACACATTTTTATTTTTATAGATTGAGGTAAAAGTCACGTAACATAGAATTAACCATTAGCCATTTCAAGGTATCCCATTCAGGACACTTGAGTACTTTCACTGTATTGTACAGCTACCATTTCTATTTTTGTCACTCCAAAAGGAAGCCTGGTATCCACTAAATAGTTGCTTCTCATACCCCGCCCCTGGTCCTTGGCCCCCAGCAATCACAGATGTTCCTTCTGTCTCTAGATTGGGCTATTCTGGACATTAGGCATAAGTGGAATCTCCTATTATAGTCCTTTCTTTCTGACCTCTCACTGAGCATAATGTTTTCAGGTGCCGAGCATCCACATGGTGGTGTGTCTGCTTCATTCCTCCCATGTGTATTGTTATTTCTTGGGGTTGTTAAGGCTGGCCAGGCCTCCCCTTCCTGACCCGAACGGTGCTTATTAGAATAGTTGGGTGGGCTGTGCCCAGGTCCATGTTCGGGTGAGATTTTGCACTGTGAAGGGTAGATAGGTCTCCGCTTTATCTTCTTGCAGTTTCATATGAGTCTCTAGTTACTCAATTTAAAGGGTTCATTTTTAAGAAAAGGAGTCATCATGGCTCTGGCCCCGCCATGGTACCTTTCCTAGATGCCCTTACTCTTTATGGCATTGACTTGCTGCCAGCAGCCTGGGGGCTCTTCAGAAGGTTCTATCCCCATGGTAACAGCTTTCCTCTTCCCATTTTTGTTTCCTATAGGATGATCGTGGAGCTCCATCGGAAGGTCTCCAGCCTCATTGAATTTTTGAAGCAGAAGTGGGAGCTCCATGAAGTGCGAATTGTATCTTTTTCCTACTAAAGCAACCCCCTGCACCACCACCACCATCATATCTACAGCATCTGCTGCCTCAGAATGGTGTCTGTCCTGCCTGTCACTCTCAGGATTGCACTGGGGCCCATGTGGTGTAGCAGCTATGCTGTGAGATGGTATACAGCCAGAACTAAAATCCATAGCCCCCTTTCCTCTGGGTTTTGGGTGTGTGGTCCACTTTCACCTTGCAGTGTTAGAACTCTGTCACAGCAGCCCTCCATGTGGTGAGCAACTACCATCTGGCCTGTGGGATATGGGCTAAGCATCCCTGGGAGCAGGTTGATCAAATGACTAAGGATAGTGTCAGACTTCTCCTTAGCCAGCTCCCAGCCCTGCCCAGTCCACAGTAAGAACAGTGTGTGCTGGGAGTAGGTTCCTAAAGAAGGAAATACCTGAGTCATGCCTTTCCCAAGGCCCTGTGATGCCCAGGGCCGGGTGCTGCTAGGTTCCTTGACAGTGCGCTAAGCGAAAAACACTCGCGGAGCGGCAGCTGCAGGATTCGTTTGTGGAGCCGTCACAGGAGAAAGTAATGCTGCACCTGTTCCCTGGGGAGAACTGTACGCTGACCCCACTTCCAGGAGTGGCCCGTGTGGTGCACTCTAAGGCCTTCTGCACGGTGCACTGGCAGGAGGGTGGCCGGTGCAAACAGAGCTCCAAAGATGCCCACACACTGCCTCCCGCTCAGATCCTGGGCATCCAGAGCGGGCAGGGTACAGCCAGAGGCCAAGTGAAGTGCCCAAGGAGCGGCACCGAAGGCAAGGGCGGGGGGCGGCCTCCTCCCTCCATGGACACTTCTCAGAGCTCTGGAGAGAGTTCCCCTGAAAGTGCCCTTGGGGAGGGGGCTGCCCCAAGCCTCAGCAGCCCGAACGCTCCCGACAGGCTTCCCCCTGGGCTCCAGGATGCTGGGGTACAGACCCCTACGGCAGCTCCTGTAGAGGTTGGGGACGGCCCAGCCCAAGAGCCCAGGGCCACGACTTGTGCCTGTGGCCAGCTCCCAGAGCTGGAGGATGATCTCTCTCTCCTAGACCCCTTCCCCCGCTACTTGAAGTCCTGCCAGGATCTCATCCTCCCTGAGCCGTGCCACTGTGCAGACTCTCGGCTCTCAGCCTGTGTCTCTCCAGAGACCCAAGCCCCCAGCAGCGCAGAGGTGGCCAACCTTACCCAGACCAGGGCACCGTCTCCTGTCCGTGGCCTATCTGGCCTGGAGCCTCAGCCCAGCCCAGGGCTCCAGCCAGATGCTTGCACTAAAGACTCAGCAGATGCTCCTGTGGAGGAGCCCCAGGAGAAGGTGAGCCCCTCGGACCCCCCGCCACCTCAGGGACAGCCTTCTGCCAAGCCTCCAAAAGATGTCCCTGCCAGCCGGCTGGCCCAGCAGCTCCGCGAAGAGGGCTGGAACCTGCAGACCTCCGAGAGCCTGACACTGGCCGAAGTCTACCTCATGATGGGAAAGCCAAGCAAGCTGCAGCTGGAGTATGACTGGCTGGCCGAGCTGGGCCCCGAGGGCCAGGCCCCTGGTGGTTCCCCACCTGCCGCCTTTCACAAGCAGCGCCTCCTCAGCTGCCTCCTGAAGCTCATCTCCACTGAGGTCAACCCCAGACTGGTGAGTGAGTGTCCGCACGGCTCTGTTGGCACCCAGAGGGCAATCAGGCCCAGCCCCATAGCAGGTGGTCAGGAGTCCCCCTGGCTCCTCAGGGACGGGCAGGAGGCAGGGACCTCAGTGACCAGAGAGGCAGAGGTTCTCACAGACCATGTTTCATTTTATTGAGCGAGGCCATGCTGAGCACTGGCCATGGCTTTGGCTTCTTGCCAGACAAGGGCCCTGTCCTCTCCTTCTAGGCTCACACAGGGCTCCAAAGAGGACAGCAACCAGCAGGCCATGCCTGTTGGGCCTTGCTAGGCTCCGGTGACTCTGCTGAGCCCTGAGCGTGCCAGCCAAGGGGTCAGTGTACAGAGGTGAGGTGGCAGGCTTGGCCAGGACTGAGCCAGATTGGGCTTTCTCTAGGTGTCGGGAGGGTTGCAGGTTTCTGCAGAGGAATGACAAGGTCGAGTTTGCACTTTAGAATGGCTGTCCTGGGAGGACAGTGGTGGCACAGCCTCAGAGAAGGGAGTGGAGCTGAAGGGGAAAAATGGAATGCTGGGGCTGAGAGCTGCACGGTGTGGGGCTTAGCTTTGTGGGGCTGCACCCAGGAAACCTCTGCAGGCCGACCTCCATGGGTAGCTGTCCAGGAGACGGCTAGTTGAAGTAGTCTGGGGCTCCTCAGGAGGGTCCAAGGTGAGTGGGTGATCCCTGAGCCCAGGGAGTGACCATGGTGGCCCAGGGAGGGGGTGGTCGTGCCAGGTAGACCATGGCATGTGACCCTAACCAGGGGAGGCTGATTAGCAAAGCTGCAAATGGGGCAGAGACTTGCTGATGGAAAGTCTTGTAGGATCTCCTGGACACGAGCAGAGTCCTAATGCAGGCTGTTCCCGAAATAGTAGTGTATGCATGGTGTTTAGAAGCCTGGAGCCTCATAGGTTCCAGGAGGGACAGCTGAGGGAGCTGAATGCTGTGGCTTTGGGGGACAGGCCAGGACTACAGGCTCACTGTGCACCCCTCAGTACTGATTCACAGTCAGTACCACGTGTAAGCGGTGCCTGAGAGCACATACCACACCTTCCACTTTCCCTGAACAGACGCTCAGTCTGGAATTTGCTGTTCTGCCTTGGTTTCTGGTTGATTCTCCCACCAGGTTCCTCTCCGTTTTCTCAGTTGTGCCCCAGGCAGTGCTTGCACACACAGGCTCTCAGTGGAGCAGGTGAAGTGAATCAGTGCCTTGTGAGAGAGGTGGGTGGCAGCTGCCTGGATGCTGCAGAGGCTGGTGAGGCAAGGCCTGAGGGTGAGAGATGGCCTTTGGATTTCGCAGCGTGGAGGTGCCCCTCGGTCAGGCATGGGCAGCATGGGCAGTACTAGGGTGACTGAGCAGAGGTTATGAGTTTAAAAACGTTTTCAAGTTTGTCTTTTGGAGGGGGTCAGGAAAAGAGACTGGGGGACACATGAGTATGTCCAATACCTTATGGAAGGAGGCCAGGCTAGACTGGCTCCTGAGAAGGCTGGAGGAAACACGGCTGAGGTAGTGGCCTTGGCCTCAACTGAAGAGGAGAGTGGAGCAGGTTGGAAATACTGTTGCAGAGAACACAAAGCAGAGTGCTCAGAGCCATGGTTCTCAAAGTGGGTCCCCTGTCAACAGTCTCAGCTTCACCTGGGAACTTGCTAGAGATGCAGTTCTTGGGGCCCTATCACCATGTTTTTAAAATATATATATATTTTTATTGATTGCAGAGAGGAAGGGAGAGGGACAGAGATACATAAACATCAGTGTTGAGAGAGAATCATTGATTGGCTGCCTCCTGCACGTCCCCCACTGGGGATTGAGCCTGCAACCCAAGCAGGCTTGTGCCCCAACCACGAATGAAACTGTGACCTCCTGGTTCATAGGTTGACACTCAACCTTGAGTCATACCAGCCGGGCAATAGACCATGTTTTGACACCCTCTACCAGGTGATACTGATGCTTCTCGGGTGTGAGAGCTGCTGACCAGAGGCCCCGGCTGAGAATGGGAACCTTGAGTTAAAGATGGATAGCCTGGCCTTTTGGTCTCCCTCCTGCTGAGGTTTGGGTGAATCGCTGACAAGAGCAAGTGCCCCGGGGGTCAGAATGCTGACAAGAGGCTGGCTGGGCACTTGGTTGGACAATTGAATAGTGAGTCAGATTGAATAAACTAAGCAGAAAGAGGTGGGGGGGGGGGGGCTAATGGGGAGGAGTCCTATGGAAAGGAGGAGGAGGGTCAGGGCTGGGGGCTGAAGGGCCATGGGAGGTACAGAGGCATGGGGCTTCTGGCAAGCAGAGCAGGTGAGGCTGTGCTGAGAGTGTGGATAATGGGTTCTGTAATTTACTGGAAGGTCCCCCCCCAGTGGGCCTGGGGTGTGGGTACCTCGGAGAATGTGGAGGACGGGGTTGGTAAAGTCACCAGGGTGAGAACAGCTGGATGGAAGGGTGTCTCTGTTGAGGACTCAAGAGTGGAGGCAATGCCCTCAGGCAGCAATCTATGAAACCCCTGGGGTTTGGGATATGATTCAGCAGGGAGCTCTTCAGCTGTGATTGTGTTTCATTCTAGAAGTTAAATCTATACGTATGTCTTTTCTACTCGCAATAGGAAGAGGCCATGGCAGTCTAGGAAGAGGCCATGGCAGTCGTCTTAGGCTTGTTTTTTAAAGGCGGTCTCTGCAATTCAGCATCTTTTGGCAGCTAGAGCCCTTCCTGGGCAGGCTGGGGTGCTCAGTGCTTTCAGCTATATGTTCCCCCTCCCTCCCTCCCTCTAGTCACTTCCTGATGGTTTGCCAGTCCGTGCCACCTGCCTGTGGGCAGTGAGGGCAGAGGTTTCAGGAGGGAGAGCCCTGGTTCCCTCAGTGCCCCCTGACTGGTGATTTTGAATGCTGGCACTGCTGAGTGACGCAGGGGTGCTGACCTTTGCCATCATGGAATGTGGTCGCTTAGCCTCTGCTGTCCATCTGATTTCAGGGAGTTCTGGTGCCTGCTCCCGGGCACTCATTCCAGACCGTTGTTCATGGGCTGAGTGTGGCTGTTGTTTCTGCCCATTTCTGTCCTAGGCTCCAGAATCGAACGCCAGCTCCATGGCCTCAGCGAGACCCGCCCAGGAGGAACAGTCGACGACCCCCCCAGGGAAGGTGGTGAACATCAGCTCCCGGAGCCCCCGCTGCCCTCGAAATCAGTCTGCCCTTCGCAACAGCAAGACCTTCTCTCCCAGCTCTGCGCCTTGTCCCTCCTCAGGTGAGGCTCAGCAGCCATTTAGACCAAGGGCCCACCATTCTGGGTGCCCCGCTGGGCATAGGGGCTGTGCCAGGTCTGAAGGCACAGGGATTCCTGAGGCCTGGCCCCAGTCAGCCAGTCCAGTGGGGGAGGTGAGGAAAACGGAAATCACCATTTCCTCAGAGGGAGGGTGAATGTGGGCCTGTCACCAAGGGCTTTGGGATCCTAGGGTGCATGAGCCAGTGGAAAACATGGGTAGCCCTTGCCAGTCCATTCACTTGGGGGGATTGGGCTTTGAGGGCAGCAGAAGCCTCCCTAACCTGCTGAGTTGGAGGTTTAGAGGCTGAGAAGGGTTGGTTCTTACTGAATCTTCTAGAGACTGTTTTCCTTTTTAATATTTTTTATTGTTGACAGTATTATAGAGACACCCCCCCCCCCCGCCCCAACCCACCCCCACAGGTCTTCACCACCCTATTGTCCATGAGACTGTTTTCTTTACACCTAAAATATTCGAGTAAAGAAACCTAAGTTCAGGGAAGTCCCAGCAATACAACACAAACCTTGGAAAGAGACGGTCTGACCTGCCAGTCCACTGTGTTCCTTTGCCCCAGTTGTATATCTGGGAGACACATTTTAATTGAGGGTCCTTATTTGGGTCACTGGGTACATAAAACCAGGATCAACCTGACCTGCTTCCCTGAGGCATCAGTTTTCCTTGCTTAGTTTTTTTTGTTTTGTTTTGTTTTTTTAAAGTATATTTTTATTGATTTCAGAGAGGAAGGGAGAGGGAAAGAGAAAGAGAAACATCAGTGAATGAGAGAAAATCATTGATGGGCTGTCTCCTGCACGCCCCCTACTGGAGATCGAGCCCACAACCCAGGCATGTGCCCTGGCCAGGAATCAAACTGTGACCTCCTGGTTCCTAGGTCAACACTCAACCACTGACCCACACCGGCCTGGCCTTGCTTAGCATTTTCATAGTAAAACATCAGTAATTGCCACGGCTAGGATCCTGAATTTGAAAGGCAGAAAAAGAAGCGTGCGTGTGCGTGCGGCCCTGGCGTGAGGCTATGCTGACGGCGCTTGAGCCTTTCTTCCTCTCTCCGGCAAAGTCTTGTAGCTCTTCCTGAGACTGGCCTGGTGAGATGGGGATGCAGGGATGGTGGGGCTGAGGCCGGGCGTGCCCCTTTGTGTCCTGTGGCCAAGAAGGCCTCCACCCCAGGCATGAGTTTCAGGACCCTCTGCTGTCCTGGTCCTTGCAATGGTGACCAGTGTGCGTCATACAAGAGGTGAGGCGGTCCTGCCTCTGATCTCACTCTGATCCGGATGGGTGCCCCAAAACCTGCAATAACTTTTTGGCTGAAGAGACCTAGGGTCCTGGTGTTTTAACGTGCTCTAGGGCTGCGATTTTCAACCTGTTTTTACATCCGATGGCATACATCAACTAATTACTAAAATCCCGCGGCAAACCAGAAAATACACTTTTTACCCATCTGACCAAAAAAAAAGCATAATTTTGACTCCTTCACATGGACGGCTATTGTGTTGGCTGTTGTCATTGTTTTTATTTGACATTTTAAGGGAATAGAGCAGTGGTTCTCAACCTTCTTAATGCCGCGACCCTTTAATACAGTTCCTCATGTTGTGGTGACCCCCAACCATAAAATTATTTTTGTTGCTACTTCATCACTGTAATTTTGCTACTGTTATGAATCGTAATGTAAATATCTGATATGCAGGATGTATTTTCATTGTTCGCGACCCACAGGTTGAGAACTGTTGGAATAGAGGTTAGTGCCCCTGACTAAATGCTCAGATGCTGCGTGGCTTAAAGAGACTTGTGGCAACAAAATTTGAAAATCCCTGCTCTAGGGTTATTTTCTGGTCAGTGAATGTTATTAGCATTATGTCTTGTTGCAAATAGCCCGCCTGTTAAGTGCTCGAAGATTCCAATCCTTGAGAGCACTTCATAGGGGCCTTTAAGAAAACTGGGCTGCTGCTGTGTCAGGCTCTCCACCTCCTGCAGCTCTTAGTTTTTTTTCTCCACCTTGATCCTGTTTCCGTGCTGTGATTCACGAGGAGGGCAGCAGCATACTGTGAGTTGGTTGTTCTCGCAGATACAGTCACTGTACTCGATAGTAGGGCTGGCTGGTAGATTGTATATGCTTTTTGCGTTCTGTTTTTAAAATTTTCGATTCTGTGTACTCTTTAATATCCATCCTCTTTCTTAATTAAGGATCCTTCTGGACTAATCCACCTGCAGTGCTAGAATCCGTACCAGTGCTTAGAAGACCTGGTCTCTGGATACCATGAGTGTCAGTGTAACCTCACAGATTTGCAAATAAAGAAAAAGGGAAGGAGCCGGCCAGTGTGGCTCAGTGATTGAGCCTCAACCTACGAACCAGGAGGTCACAATTCAATTCCCAGTCAGGGCACATGCCTGGGTTGTAGGCTCGATCCCCGGTAGGGGGAGTGCAGGAGGCAGCCGATCAATGATTCTTTCTCATCGTTGATGTTTCTCTCTCCCTCTCCCTTCCTCTCTGGGATCAATAAAAATATCTTTAAAAAAAAGAAAAAGAAGAAGAAGGGAAGGAGATCCATTCTACCATGAATCAAGGGTGCTTTGCAGCAGCATCTATGGTAACAGCTAGCAGAGTCCCAAAATAGTGGTTCCTAAATAACTACTTTCTGTCCCTCTATTTCTGGGTCGGTTTTCTGTATAATTACAGATTTAGACCAGGCATCAGCAAACTATGGCCCACGGCCTAGTTGTTGTAAATAAAGTTTTATTGGCACATGGCTGTACTCACTGGCGCATACACATGTTGCCTGTAGCTGCTTTTGTACTACAGCTGCAGAATTGAGATTAGCAGAGTCTGCAGGCCCACAAAACAATATTTATTATCTTTAAAGAAAGAGTTTGCTGACCTCTGTTCTGCACTAGATATTCTGCTAGGTTCTTCTAGCTCTGAAAAATGAATGCCTAGCTGCCTTTCCCACCAAGGCTCAAACAAAATGGTAAAGTTTCTTTATCCTGTCAGGAAGAGCTATGATCTGCTCAGGTTGGAAACTAGAATTTCAGGGAGAAAGATGGAAAAGCAGGTTTTATGGGACTAAGAAAAAGGGAACTGCTTTCCAGGAAACAGAACAGGTTGTCAGGAATTCTTCTTGATTTTCTTTCCAGTAGAACTTCATTCACACTGGAGATGTTGCTGGGTGAGGGTATTCTATTCACTTCCATTCTCCTTTTCTAGGTTTGAGAAACCCTCCAAGACCCCTCTTGGTGGCTGGTTCCTCTAGTACAGGAAGCAGTGACTCAGATGGTGGCCTTTTTGCTGTCCCAACAACTTTGCCACCCAACAGCCGACACGGGAAGCTCTTCTCTCCTAATAAAGAGACAGAATTGACTTTCCTTCAGCATCTGAACTCCATCAGCGTAAGTGCAGGGAGTGCTCCCCTCTGCTTGCCTGCAGACCCATGTTTGCTGTGAAAACACTCAGGGATCGGGCACTGTTTTCCTCATAGATGCAGTCGGATTTCTTCTTGCCAAAGCCCCGGAAGTTGCAGAACCGGCACCTACGGAAGCCGCTGGTGGTCCAGGTCAGGAACGCTGGTCAGGTTTGCATAGCTGGGCTCCCCCTGGCCAAGCTGCCCGACACACTGGTTTTCTCCCGTGTCTTGAGTGTTGAACTGAAATGGAGAATCCCTGCCACTTTCTCCCTTCTTATGAATAGGGTAAATAAAGTAATAACTGTGACCCTTACTGTATCTGAAAATGAAGATAATCTTACCCGGGCCTCTTTGCTCAGTGTTTAGTGTTGGCCCTCAATCTGAAGAGTCATGGGTTCAATTCCAGTCAAAGGTACAAACCTCGTTTGCAGGGTAAATCCCCGGCTCTGGTCAGGGTGCATGTAGGAGGCAACCAATAGATGTGTCTCCTCACATTTATGTTTCTCTCTGTCTCACTCTCACCCTTCCAGTCTCTCTTAAAAAACAAACAAAAAAAAACTCAATGTAAAAATATCCTCGGGTGGAGGATTAACTAAACAAAACAAAAATGATAATCTTTATATAACGAAAACCACTTGTAAAAAGACAGAAAGTTATGGGACTCAAGTCCTAAGAATGTTTTGGATTGGGATATATTTGAGGATGCTCAGAACATCTCTTTGTAAATATGTAGTCAGTGGAAGCAGTGGGTAAGGTGTATGGATAGGCCATAATGATAAACCCTGGTGGACCTGTAGGTGACATGCAGACCAGAGAGGGAGATATAGCAATGAGACACACGTGAGAAAAAGGGCAGTTTATTTGGAAGTAAAAGGATAAAAGAGGTGAAGTGGAAATTCTGGTATGACTTTGGGCTTAGAAAGTTATTAATATGCATTGTTTTGGGATTAATGCATAGGTCTCTTTTGTTAGACCCTTAGAAATTTTTTGAGATTAATGTATATAGAAATGAGAGATTGCATGATGGTCCTAGGAAGGAAGATGTATTCTGAAGCCCAAGTGGGTTTTGTGTATGTGTGTGTGTGTGTGTGTGTGTGTGTAGACTACAAGTAGACTCTTGAACAGTGCAGGGGTAAGGGGTGCTGACCTCCTGCACAGTCAAAAATCTGTGTATAACTTGACTCCTTCAAAAACTTAAGTTGTCCTGCAGTATCTGCAGGGGATGGATTCCAGGATGCCCAATGGGCACCAAAATCTATGGATACTCAAGTCCCCTATATAAAATGGTGTCAATCAATGTATATAGTCATCCCTTTACATCCGTGGACTCCCAACAGTGAATTGAAAACAGTTCCGGTAGTTACTGAAAAAAATACATGTATAAGTGGACCCACACAGTTCAAACCTGTGTTTTAGGGCCAACTGTAATTTAGTATTAATGCATTTGATTTTAGTATATTTGATTATTTTAACAGCTTTATCCTATATAATAACAGACTAATATGCAAATTGACCCAACGGCTGAATGACCAGTCACTGTGATGTGCACTGACCACCAGGGGGCAGTTGCTCAACACAGGAGCTGCCCCCTGGTGGTCAGTGTGCTCCCACAGGGGCAGTGCCGCTCAGCTAGAAGCTGCAGCGGCAGTGGCAAGGATATCCGACTACCTGCTTAAGCCCACTCCCCTAGGTTGCGAGCCTAAGCAGTCAGTCGGACATCCCCTGTGGGCTCCCGGACTGTGAGAGGGCGCAGGCCAGGCTGAGGGCCCCCGCCGAGTGCACAATTTTCATGCACTGAGCCTCTAGTTGATATATAATTCATGTAAAGTTACCCATTTAAAGTATACAGTTCGATGGTTTTTTGGCATATTCACGGGGTTGTGCATCACCACTATCTAATACCAGAACATTTTCATCACCCCAAACAGAAACCCTGCACATATTACATGCATTGCCCCCTCTGGTAGTCGCTGGCAACCACAAATCTACTTTTAGTCTGTCGATTTGCGTGTTCTGGGCATTCATATAAATGGAATCACACACAGTATGTTGTCTTTCCATTTATTGTTTTCATTAAACGTGTAATTGGCACACAGCCAGTCATTTATTTCCCTAGTGCTCACAGCTGCTTTCACACCACCAGGGTGAAGATGAGGAGCTGTAACAGAACATAGGGTCCCAAAGCCTAAATGTTCCTCACCTAGTTAGTCCTCTCAGAAAGTGCATGTGGAGCAGAGCCGGCACATCTGCAGCTCCTCACCTAGTTAACAGGTCACCTGCCGCAGCAGCAGCATCCAAGCGGACCTAATGGCCCAGTCGAGGTTGCAGCCCCAGTAACACCTCCTCTACTCTTTGCCAACACTTTGGGGGCGCCTCTGAGGGGCATGGAGATAGATGTCCCTTGTGCTTTAGTGGAGATGCAGCTGTGCCCCAGAGCCAGAGGTCCTCAGACACTTTTAGGTTGACAGATACTTTCTGTTAATGTTTTAACTTCAGTGAATAACAGTTTGAGCAATTAATATAATTTATTACTTTTTAAATTTTTTTATTTGATTTTTAGGGAGGAAGCCGGGTGGGGGAGAGAAAGAGAGAAACAACAATGTGTTGTTCCACTTAAATTGGTTGATTCTTGTATGTGCCCTGACTGGGGATCAAATCCTCAGTCTTGGCATATTGGGATGGTGCTCTAACTGAGCTACCTGGCCAGGGCTAATATAATTTCTTTAAATGGTATTCTTCACATTAGAACTTAATTATTCACACGTAGGAGTCGTGGGCAGATAGGGAAGGGTGGGCACTGGGACCGTGAGATGGGGCGGAAGGCCTCAGGCCTTTAGCCTGTCTGTGTTACAGGCAGCAACTTTATTTTTACACTCCAAATTTGAGGAGGTCCAGAATATGAGTGTCTTTTTTAATAGTCCACACAGAGTGGTTATAAACACACACACATATATATATATATGACTAGTTGCATTCCATCCAAATCCATAAGAATATTCTGAATTAACAGTGGATGGTTCTGACATTCCTCCAGTTTCCCTGGAGGAAGGTTTGATCCCTCGGTATTTTTTTTCAGAGAGGACCCGATGTTCAGAGTTTGCTGGGTCTACAGGACATAGCCATCCTCAGACTGTCCTAGGGGCTCTTGTGTTAGTAGCCCTAGAACCCAGAACCATCTGCTTACAATCTCAGTTCACTGTTGTCTGGAATATCCCCTTACAAGTCTTTGCTGGTTTCCTGAGTGATTTTTATTACCTGATTGGCAATTTTCCCTCCACAGAGAACCCTGCTTCCTAGACCTTCTGAAAACCAGTCCCACAACGTCTGCTCCTTCTCTATCATGTCAAATTCCTCCATAACCGGTAAGCACTGGGTCTCCTGGGGTTGGCTCTTCACTCCTTACTTTCCTGTGGCCTCGCCTTTGGGGATGACAGGCATTCGCGTTTATGGCTGTTGGAGTGACATTTGCAGCATTCCTTTGTCCATTCTGTCAGCAGAAACTGAGTGTGCCCCTGAGCCAGGCAGGCATGGCCCTCTGACAGGTGGTCCGCAGCCAGCTTCCTTCAAAGGTGGGCTCAGGGAGCCCTGTTAGCGATGCTTCGCTTAGTTCAGTCCACCCTCTCTGTATAATGTCTTGTCAGGTCTTTTTTTGTTTTGAGCTTGTTCGTTTGGGGTGTGTGTGTGTGTGTGTGTGTGTGTGTGTGTGTGTGTGTGTGTGTGTGTTTTGTCAGGCATTTTAGGGAAAAAATGTACAACTCAGGCCTTCATAGATCTCTAAGGTCAATGGGGGCCCTGGTTCTTTGAAGTAAATTTTCTTACTTCAGTGAGAATTATTCAGTGAAACACATAACTCTGCGATTTAGCTTTTAAATCAGCCTTGATTTTCACATTTCAGACTGACTTACTGCTGGACCCAGACAGCTATTAATTGCTTTTTCTTGTGCCTTCTTTTCATCTACAGAAAACCTAGTAGGAAAGAGCCCAGTTGCAGAGGCAGAATCTTAATCCAAGATTTGATGCTCTCATTGCTTCAGAGGAGCTTGTAGCTTCGCTTGGGTGTGCATCACCCTTAAAGGGCCATTCCCAGAAAATGACAGTGCTGACAGCACCCTCTTCAGCAGCCCCCACAGGCCACAGTGGTGCTGTTATCACGGGTGCCAGAGCCGTCTCCTCATTGGGGGCCCGTTTGACTTCTGACTTCCCCAAGTTAGCACAGTTTTGGAATGTTCAGTGGTGTCCCCTTGGCTCAGCTTCCATGGTCCCAACTGGCTGTGAAGCCGACCCGTTGTAGCACCTGCCGTGCAGTCAGAGAGCACCGGGGCAGGTGGGCCTGATGCGGCTGCTTCTGTTTTTGTCCTCACAGGTAGAGGCTCATTCCGGCCCATCCAGTCTTCCCTCACCAAAGCGGCTCTGTCTCGGCCGATCATGCCCAAGGTCCTTCCGCCCCAGGCCCCGGGCCACCTGGCCAGTAAGTTTCTGTGACCGGCATTGGGACAGATACCACAGGAGGCTTGTGAATGATGTTTGTTTTCTTCTTCCCCCAATCCATGCTCTCATTATCCTCCAGAGAGAACAGGAAATCTGTTTCCCTTGCCTTGAAATGAGGCGTGAGGGAGAGGCTATTCCTGTGAGCTCTGCGGAGTATGCTTGGGGATGTCAGTGGAGCTCCCATTGGCAATGTCTTTTCTGTTGTCAGGTACTGTCGACTTAGCAGCTACAAGTGCCGGCATCATCCCCGGGAGCCCCCTCCCTGTCTTGGATGCTGAGGGTTTGTCTGGCATCTCTCCACTGTCTTCAGATGAGGCAACAGCTACCCTTTCGGGTCAGGACTCCACTGGCACGCTCCAGAATGGCGACCCCATCCCCACTGTGGGGGTGAGTGTTTAGAAGGGCTTCTCCGAGTTACCACCAGCTTTCAGGATGGGTCGGTCACTCTCCAGAGGGATGGGAGCCGAGATAATGGGGCTGATGTCATGCTGGACTCTAATTCTGCCTCAGGAGCGGGATGGGCCTGATGGCCAGAGGGGAGTCACAGAACCAGGGAGGCTGGGGCATGAGTGCGCTCTGCGTGGCTCGGGGGGAACCATGGAAGGAGACAGAGTGGGGACAGGTTTGCTGGGTGACACTGGAGAATCCAGAACTGAGGTAAGCAAGATCTGTATGTCAGCAGACTTCTCAGATGTCAGCTTGGTCTGAGAAGGAACTTTAACCAAGTGGACCAACAGTGGGCCTAGTGATCCCTGACTGCCTCTCCTCTCCGGCTCTCTCAGTGCTCTGGTTTCACGGCCAGCCCAGCCTGAGGACTATGAGGTTTTGAATTGATAATCTTAAGTGCAGTGACTTCTTGGCCCACCTTCTGGAAGCAGTGAGCTTGCTTGTCTTCACAGGAAGAGATTTCCAACCTGGACCTCAATGGGTTCCTGTAATGTTGGCTGTTAGGAAGCTGGAGAGGGGAACAGCTCTTGCCTCAGGAGCTTAATAGCCATTGGGCAGAGTGCTGGCATCCTGATTGTAAGGGCTCTTAGGCATTCATGGTGTACTTTTCTTGTAGGGTACAAGCGATCCATTCATCAGCATCCCCTCGAGGCCTGAGCAGGAGCCAGTGACGGAAGGTTTCCAGGTAGAGTGTGCTGTTGGCTGCTGAGCAAAATAGCTGCCCCAGAGCCCCCCTCCAGTGCTGAGTCCCGGTGCTCATGGTCCTGCCAGCAGACCTGGCCTCCCTGCTGTGAGTTGCCAGGATGTGACAAGGACACTCAGACATCCAATAGTTGTATCCTCCCATTGCCTAGATAAAAGGAGCATGCATCTTCCATCTCAGTTTTCTTCTTCCCTTCCACGTGGCTGGCTGATTCAGACACAGTTCTGAAAGATCAGTTTCTTGGGCTGAGTGGAGGAGATCACCAACTGGCAGCACTTGTTGGCACTTACCTTCTGCCTGGGTGTTACCAGCTGTCTTGCTGGCAGGGAAAGCAGGTCCAGGTGTCCAGGGCACTGTGGCCAAGGCCCCCCTGGCCCGGCCTTCGAACTCTGCATCCCCAGAGTGGTTTCTGGAGAAGTGAATGTGTTTCATGCTAGAGTGGAAGAGGTATCTGCTATGGTCACCGCCTCGCTGCTGACTTGGCCATCACTTGGTTACCATCTTTTGGGGTTGAGGTTGAGTTTTTGTTCCTTATTAGGGGATTGGTTGATCCATTGCATCTAAACAATTCCCATCTCCCACCAGGGTTCACCTGTCCTCTCTTTAACTGAGCTGTCTAAGGCTCCTCTGCACAATGGGCTTTCCACCCCACTGCCCTTGGCGGAGGACTCCAGCAGTCGGCTCTCTCCGCCTAACGTTTCTGCTCTGCTGGACATCTCTCTCCCCGGGCCACCTGAGGACGTGCTCTCGCAGGGAGAGCCTGCCACTCAGATCAGCGACTCCATCATTGAAATTGCCATCAGCTCTGGCCAGTACGGTAAGGAACAGGCTGCCCCTGCACACCCTTCTTGGGATCAATTCCCCATTAGGATGGGGGATCCAGGCTTGCCCTTGACCTCCCATCTGAGCATTTGCCAAACCTGCTGGGTATGTTCCCATTGCACTCCCACTTTTGCACCTGCCACCTATATGGCCTTGCCCGGCAGAGGCAGAGGCAGCACCAGTGAACAAGGTACCGATAGGACCTACAGCTGTGTATGGTCTGGTGGGACTGCTCCTGGCCTTGAGACCAACGGGATTAGATGGGCCATTGTCCTAGTTGGTCATAAATCTAGGTGAATGCCTTTGGGTTTTGCAAGTTCCAGGAGGGAACTGGACTGGTATCCTGTAGCAGTAGTGTGGTTGGCACTTGCTGGTATGATTCAGGCCATGGATTCAGATTAAGCTGACTTCACAGGCTAGTAGTGAGTGGCTGTGGGCAGGTCACCGGCTCATTTGTGAACTGGGAATAGCATATAATTCACAGGGCAATTGTAAGCGACCATGAGAGGATTTAGATGAAGCTCTCGGCATAGCGCCTGGCTCATCAGTGATAGCTGTGGCCATTGTCGTCCCCTAAGATAGGTATGTGTTCCTTCTGTAGGGTTCCCCTCCACAGACCAGTGTTGTTCATCATCTGTGGGGATCCAAGCAGAGTCCCGGACCTCCGGAGTCTAGTGGCGCACATCTGTGCTGCTCACTGCCTTAGTGGCAGGTTGGAGAAGCAGAGTGCTGTTCACCCCACGTGGCGTCTCTGACCCAGGATTTTGGTTGACAGGTGAAGGAGTCCCTCTTTCTCCAGCAAAACTAAATGGCAGTGACAGTTCCAAGAGTCTTCCTTCCCCATCCAGCAGCCCCCAACCAGACTGGATTGCCTCCCCGACCCATGACCCCCAGTGGTGCCCCAGCGACCCCACGGACTCGTCCCTCGGCAGCTTGTTTGGTGAGTGTCTGTTGGGGGTGCCCCGGTCTCTGTCCTAGACCAGCAGGACGAGCAGGGCTCCACATGGTGAACTTGGTGGGGGACTAGAGCCTAGATTCTCCTTGCCATCTGGCAGAACTCCCACTAGGACTGTTTGCTTGTTTTCCAGGGTTTATTTTTTCTGCACCACTTACATTTGGGAGAATGTCCAGATCTCCAATGTGCAGTTCACTGAGCTTTGGCAAACGTGACATCCTTGTAACCCACAGCCCAGTTGCAGTGTAGCCCCCGTCTATCTCCTCACACAGTCCCCTGTGCTCTTCTCTAGTCTGGCCAGCTGTCCTGGCCCCTCCCCTACTAGAGCCTTCTGCTTTTGCCACCAATGGCAGGGTAGAAGACATTGGCTTCCCTCTTTCTGTTCGCAGTAAAATATTCTGATGTGGACAGGCCAGCTGTCTTGCGACATGTTGACCAGTTTGGCACGTTCACAGGATGTGTTCATCCTCATTGGGCACCAGGCGTTGTGTGATGGGAAAGGCGTGTTAGGGAAAGACACAATGCTCTCACTGTCCTATGTAAGAGGGGCTCCGGGACATGTCTGGGATTCATGTGCTTTGCATTTTTAGAGAGCAGCCAATACGTGCACATGGCCATCAGACTGCAGCCCCGCAGGGGGTTGTGCTGTACACATGTTGAACCGGGTCAGCACCTTGTGTGGACGCCACACCTGATGGCCCAGAATGTGGGCTCTGGTCTGGGTGATACAGGGAGCCAGCACCCAATGAGTGTTTCCTGTTATAAGAGGCCCATAGAACAGTACAGATCTCTGCAAAGTCAAATACAAATCATGAAAAATGGGAAACCACATTACCTGGAGGTGGGAGTGGTGACTGGACAGCAGAGCACTGAGGGGCCCCTATGATATGAGGCCTACTTATGTGTGCTTCTGAGGACCCTCCAAGGCTCCTCATTTGAGAAAAGCCAGGTTGGCTACAGCTCCACACCAAGCACTGTGTGCAAAGCGTGCAGATAAAAGCCTGCGTGGGCCTGGGCCTGGCGAGGCTGCCTCCAGCCCTCAGATCCTTCCCTTGACCCGGAGCTGACCAAGCCATCTCAGGGCTTGATCCTCCTTTTCTTGGCAGCGAGCTTCATCTCGGAGAAAGGCCGAAAGATGCTGCCGACTCCAGTGGGGACCCACAGTGGCACCTCCCTGCTGGGCCCCAGCCTGCTAGATGGAAATTCGAGAGACTCGTTTGTGTCCAGATCCCTGGCCGATGTGGCAGAGGTAAGTACACAATCTTACGCCTGGACTTGACCACCAGCCCTTATTCCACAGGTGACCGAGTCCCTCAAGCAGACCTGTTTGGTTATTAAGAATTTTTCATCAAGATGTTAAAACCAGGAGCCAGCACATGCACATCCAGGTTTCTGGCTTCTGAGAGGGAAATTCTAGTGGCAAACAACAAAGTAATAGCTGAGCTCTGAAGGCATCAAAACCTGGAAAATTCGGGGTTAACTGGGGGTTCTGCAGGCGACCAAAGCAGGGATTGGATCTCATTGTGGCCTACACCAGCCGCTCGATCTTAAGCAGGTAATGCTGCCTCTGTGCAGTGCTGTGCCGTTGACAGAAGAGTAAAGAGCGCCTGTAGGTGGCTTTGTCATCACTGCTGGTGCCTGACAGGAGAGGCCCTTCGACAGCCCCTCCCGGTGTCGTTACCTGTCACTGCCTCCCAAGCAGGAGAATGGGCTCTGCAGGAAGGGCACAGGTACTCCCTCGGGCTCCTCCCACGGTGAGGGCGATGACAGCAAAAGTCACATTATGGCAGACCGTCAATGTGCAGGCAAGGCTCCGTTTGTGACCCTCATCTTTGGACCAGCATGCAGTGTCCCTCTTTCTTAGGCCAGGCTGTCTGCTCATGTAGCCACCCAGGCTCCACCAACATGGTATGAGTGTTGTTTGAGCAAGAAAGCCTTGCCAAGGCTGTGCACTGATTGAAGGAGTAGAGACAGGTACATTTAATTATACGGCAAGGTATGAAGTAACAGGTGCTGAAAGAAAAATTTAGACAGAGGATATGCTTAAAATGAAGAGATTCCACATGTAGAATGTCACATGGGCTTGGTCCTGTTATTAAAGTACTGGAGCAGCATTTCCAAATCCTGGCTTCCTGAGATGCTGAGCTGTTGGTAGGTGTCCCTCAAGGGTTTTATGGTAAGACTAGTGGCCCCGTGCACAGATTCGTGCACATTGAAAGGAAATCAATTAGAAGGTGGCTGACGGGGCAGGACTGGGCGAGATGGGCCGGACACGCCCTGGAGCCAGCCTCCTGTGGTCCCTCCCTGACCGGCTGCACCTGGGGTGGCGCTGTGGCTCGAAGGGCATCCGGAGTGAGTGGGGTCCCTCCGACAGGTGGGGCCCCTCGGCCTGGCCTACGGGGATCAGGCTGAAACTGGCTCTCTGACATCCCCCCAGGGGTCCTGGAGTGCAAGAGGGCACTCTGCAAAGTTGCTGTCGTACAGGGTGTGGAACGCAAACAGAAGTGTGCAGTAAACCAGATTTGGGGCTAATAGTGCCCCAGCAACAACATAACCCGTGGCCAAAGGTGGAATCACACAGCCCCGTGAAGAATCGGGCTCCCTCCTCTCTGGTTTTGGGGTGCATCACCTGTGAACTGCCACTGCCAAGTCACTGCAGCTTGGCAGCTCCTGCATTGAGCATCTGCCCTCTGGTGGTCAGTGCACATCATAGCGACCGGTTGGACACTTAGCATATTAGCCTTTTATATAGATAGATTCTTAAGGGGAACCCTGGATCAGACAAGACTAACACAGTGGTGTCCCATTGCCTCCTCAGCTCTCGGTATCCTGATTTGAGTCTTAAGATCTGAGGAGCTTGTGGGAAGGCTTTTTGGAGGATTCTAAGCCAGCTCCTAACATGAATGGAAATTTCACCCAAATACAAACTAAACAGAGCAATATAGGACATTTCCTCCCCCTCGACGAGCATTTCTGTGGCCATAGAACCTTTATTTAGAGAAGATCCTGTGACTGTAATGTCCCATAAGCTGGTCTCTTTCCTTTCCTGTGTCTATGTGGACATAGTTTATAAGCTCCTAGCTCCTGTGGAAGTGGCCACTGCACAAACATCCCCAGATGACACACCTGGACCAACTATTCAAAGGTGGTCCACAGACCCACTGCAAAACACCTTGGACTTGTTAGAAGGGCAGGCTCTCGGGCCCACCCCAGGGCCAGTGAACCAGAACCTGCATTTCTAACAAGATCTCTGGGTGGCCTGTTGCACACAAAGGTGAGCAGCACAGAACAAAGACAGGTGCTATTCATGAATTACTAAATCCATAGCTAGTAACATATTTACCTCCAGAAATAGCCGTTGTTTAACAAACAGATCTGACCACGAACTCTCCAACTCAAAAAACATGAGTGTTTTTTAAATAGTCCTTATCATCTAGAAGTACATTCTGAGATGTGTGGCTGAAATGATCTGATGATGGGATTTGAACAGAAGTGATGGGAGCAAAGAGTGGGTGGGAAAGGTGGGCCTAGATGGGCCACAGATTGATGAAGCTGGTGATGGATATGTGGGGGAAACAGTCACTATTCTACTTTTTCCTTTTTTAAATCCTTGCCCGAGGTTATTTTTTCCCAGACAGAGCAGAAGGGAGGGAGGTGGGGGGGAGGGGGGAGAGGGAGAGAGAGAGAGAGAGAGAGAGAGAGAGAGAGAGAGAGAGAGAGATAGAGATAGAGATAGAGATAGAGATAGATAGATGGCGGGAGAAGGAGGGGGAAATGACGTGAGAGAGATACATCAAGTAGTTGCCTCCCGCATGTACCCCAACTGGGGCGGGGTATAGAACCCACAACCAAGGTGCGTGCCCTTGACAGGGAATTGAACCCAAGACCCTTTGGTACACAGGCCAACACTCCAACCTCTGAGCCAAACTGGCCAGGGCTTGCTCTGCTTTTTGAAAACAAATTTGTTTGTTTTATATTTCTTATAATAGATTCAAAATTCGGTTCAGGCCATAGCTCTACTCAGAATTTTCCAAGGCTTTTTATTTCATTATATCATGCAATTTATTCATGATGTGCCAGGCACTGCTACAGGCACTGAGTGAATAAAACAAAGGCCCTGTATGGCAGAATGTTCCATGTTTTTGTCCACAGAATGAAATCCCAATACCTAAGGCCCTGCTGTACACACTTAAGTCTCTCTTCTCTTATTCAACTGTTGTCCTTACTGTCACATCCACCAGCTTTCTTGTTTCTGGAAGAGCTGAAGCCTGTTCCCACCTCAGGGCCTTTGCACTTGCTGTTTCTTCTCACAGGAATGTGCCTCCCCTTTCCCCCATGGCAAACTCTGTCCCCTTTCTCCACTTATATCTCCTACAGGCCACCCCACAGTTTCTGCTTTCCACTCTGTGCCGTTTGCCTGTTTGACTGTCTTCCCTGACAAATCTCATATAAAGGAAAGCACTGCTCTGATCCCAGCAGCCAGCTGTGCCAGGCTCACAGTAGGCTCTCCTGCACACTTGTCAAAACAGGGAGAGTTCAAGACGATGGGCGATTCTGAGATTCTTCCCAGAGTACTAGGCCACCATTACATGGCAAGTCGATGGGAGATTCCAATCTTCACCGTAGAGAGACTCAAGTTCACTTTCTACTGGAAGTCCTGGTGGTAGCGAGTCTCCTCGTCTAGGCGGCAGGCCACCACCAGCTGATGTGGTCTTGCCTTGTGTCCTCTGCCCACAGGTCGTGGATTCCCAGCTGGTGTGCATGATGAATGAAAACAGCGTTGATTATATATCTCGATTCAACGACTTGGCCCAGGAGCTGTCCATCGCCGAGCCCAGCCGCCGAGAGGTTCTGTTTGATGCCAGTGGAAGTGGTCCCCCTGTCAGTGACCTATCCCAGTGAACATACAGCGTACTCGTGGTGGGGGCATCCTGGAGGCTTCAGAGGAGGGCTTACAGGGCTGGTGGTCCAGTCCTCAACTGTGGTAGGTGTAGAGAAAACACAAATCAAGCCCAGGACCCCCAGAAGATGGTCAGAATAGAGACACCTCTGCACCCCAGAATACGCAAAATGCTGGAAGCTGTACCCCAACGGGGAGAGGGCCGTAGTAGCCTGAGAGATGAGGATGAGTCCTGGAATGTCATACATCACTGGCATTGGAGCCATTCTTCGCCAGTCGTGGGATCTCATATTGGGGTCTGTGTAATGACCACATATCTGTCTTGGTTGTGTTGGACAGTTCAGTGGGTTTTCTTTCTGAAAGAAAGGAGGGGGTGTGTGCCTGGCGTAGTCGTTGTGCCCTGGGGAGTTGTAATCTCCCTGCTCTCTATAGGGAGGCTCCAGGTCATGCTGCATTCTTTCTGCAAAACCTGTACCACACTTTGATTGCTTCTCTGCAGCGTGATGATGGAAGGGGATGACGGGGGACAGCTGGGCCTGGGCTGGGCTTTGCCTGGTGGTATCTGTACCCTAAGACAGCTTCATGGGGACACTTCAGGGGACACTGAAGGTTCCCAGGGCAGCGTAACTGGAGCCATCACCCCAGAAATACTGATCCTTGCCTAGTGCTTCCCTATCTAGATGTGTTTTCTGAACAGGACGGGGAAAGAATCATGTCTTGTGCAGGTTATATGGACTTTCAGAAAAGAATCCTGCTAAGCTGCTTGGAGAATGTTTTTCTTTTGTTTTAAGAATTAGACAATGAGGAGGTAAACCAGTTTAGTTGGTTTCCTTCTTGCATCCATCTAAAGTTTCTTCTAGGTGATCTATAACGTTATTTCTATTGGGACGATCCTAAGCACTTGTTTAACCACAGTTAAGACTTTCCTGATGAGTCCTTGAACTTCTGATGTGTTACTGTTTAGCATCTGAGACAAATGTACTTTTCAGGGGAATTTCTTTTTTTTAGTCTTCTCTTCCTTTCGTTGGCCTAAGAGCAGAGCACGCTGTGATGTGCAGGTTTAATCCCCCATGTCTTCTTTTGCCCAGTGGTCTCTTATTTTGCTCCTTCCTGTTCAGGGAATGCAGACAAGGATCATACATCCTGGTGCAGTTAGAGCACTGCCACATCGCTGTATGTGCTCCGTGAGCCTCCTTGGGTGACCAATTGCCATTGCAAGTAGTCCAGTTTCCAGTTCTCCCCCGGAATGGAGCTAACAAGGCTCCTGTGTTTGCTCAGCCTCGGGAAACGCAACGTTTAATTCACCCTTTAGCCACGTGTGGCCAGAAGCCAGTGCTCTTGTGTTGGACTAGTAATACCTGAGCCACCATCCCACCTGCTGCCTCACCCGCCCCCGACAGCCAGGATCATCCACCCGAACCAATCTCCCTCTCTGTGCTCACCTTTTCTCTTCCCCTGACTGGCGGAGAAGGCGGCTCTTGAGGCCAGCCCTGGTCCTCTGCAGAGACTTCTCCACAATGAGAGGTCAGCCTGTGTGCAAAGGAGAAGAAAGGTCTTTTGTGTGTGCAAGGAGAGTGGACACTCTTGATCCCATTGTCTCACCAGCTGTTTGCAGCCCTTTTAGGCTGCAGGCAGGGTCATTCGCTCCCAGCCATGGAGGAAACAGGACATTTGGCTTCTAGGCAATAGCTTCTTTTCTTTGTTTCAATTGTTTCTCAAGCTTTTGCCTCTAATGTGGCTTCCTTCTTTCAGATCTGGTTCTAGGCACCAATATCACTAAGAAAAAGCCTTCTGGGCTCTTAGGAAAAGTCTCAAAGCTCTGGAGATATGAAAGAAAGGGACATGCTAACACTTTATTAAGAGATATCGACAACATTGGACCAGAGTATTTTTAAGCTACTTGTGTTTTGTGATCAATGTATCAGCTTTCTGAAATTAGCACCTTATATTGAGCTGAACAAGATCAGGATCGATCTCTCACTCTCTGACACTCACTCTCAGGGCATCTGACTGTGTTAGGTCTACAGTAGGATAATAGACCAGGCCAAGTTTAGGCCGTGACTAGCTTCCTCATACTCCTCCACTGTCTGGGATCAGGACCGATCAAGTAACGTCAGAGCTGCATGTGATGCCCAGTGGCAGTGTGTACTGTGCCAGGACAGTAGGGCTCCTGAGCTGCTTGTTCATCAGGGTCACCTCAAGGCAGTCTAGTTGGTAGGCTGGCACCTGTCACCCAGTGACACCTAAAAGGAGAAAAACTCTGAGACTCAGATCAACTTTTGTAGCTATTTAGCCGCACCCCCTGCCTGGGTTTCTGGCATAGAATCCGTCTGGGAGTAGCTGGCTGGCCAGTGTCATTCAGTGGGGAAGTGGGCCAGGGAGGAGCGTAAACCGACTCTTCTCACCTCTAATAAAACTCACAAGATTCCAGAGAATTCTGCTGCTTCCCTAGCAATCAGAGAAGTGTGTATGTGACAAACCAGTTCTCCAGGCATAACCCAGGTGTGAGACTCAAAGCTTTCCTATTGACTTAAATTTGGAAACGGCAAGGTAAGGGGTGGTGGGTATGTTGTATGTTTGGATGGGAAAGAAAAGCTCCACTGACCTGTAGGAGATGTTTTTTAAGTGGAATCCTTTTCAACTCAAAACAGATATAAAAAGCAAGGTGAAGAACACACACACACAAAATAAGTAATTGTTAAAGGCTGGGATTTTCAAAAGACCCAAGCCTCCCACCTCCTGCATCTTCCTCTGTCTCTCCAGTGGCAGGCGTCATAGTTTCAGTATGCACCTGTGGCTTCCTTGAGCATGTTATCATTAAGAACAGGTCAGTTTCTGAGACCTATTTCCGAGGTCACTCTAATGTCTAGCATCTTTTTGCTGATTCATCTTTTGTAAAGAGTGAGATTGTCTCTGGTCTTGAGTTGGTGGTGTGGCCTTAACTCTTATTGTGACTGTCCAGTGGTGAGCATTTTCTTCTTTAGAAAATGCAGAGGCAGATCGAAGTTTATGGTTCCACATGAGGTTTAGGATGACATTTTTTTATTTCTCTGTATCTTCTAGGTGTAGGGCACTTGCTCTGGGAGTGGGGATAATTGGAAACATTTCATAAGTTGATCTACTTGCTTCCCTACATCTCTGGTTTCTCAGCCTCAGAGTCCCATTCTTTATCATTCTGTGTCACTACTGATGGGTGTCCTTTTCAGTGTAATAGCATTTTTACCATCCAGTCCAAACCTGTGTGGAGAAAAATGATGGAACAGAAGCACTGGAAACAAGTGGACGAGAACAGCAGCTGCTGTGGGTTTTTGATGTTTAAAACTTTGAGACCTATCAGATGCATTTGTGAGGAAATAGGGCACTTTGTCTTAAGGGGGAAAAAGAAAGAAACCGCAGCAAACCTTTCCTGACTATCAAAGCTCTCTCCCAATCCCACAGTAATGTGTAAGTCATGTTAAGTGAGTTCAGTCTTGGAAGCACTACAGCAACCTGTACCCTTCATTCTGTAACAGGATAACTGGCTCCAGAGCTTCTGGCCCAGGCAGCAGGACTTACTGCTGTTTCTTTTAATAATCGTTAAGCCATATCATCTAAGGTTTTCGGCTTGTTTGAGATGTGAATTTGTTTAATAGATAATAAATATACATATAGAGTGTATGTATAAAGCGGAATGCCTGTCCTTCCTGATTACTTTTTGTACCATATTGTAAATTACATTATTTATTCTTTACCAATTTTGGGAATAAAAGGTGTTTTGGTTATTTAATATAATAAACAAAAGCTGTTAAACTTCTTATGTTTAAATTTCCAGTTTAACTTGTAAATCTGTTTTTATTATTGTGCATAAATACATACTAATACTTGATCTAATAATTATTGTTTCTGCCTTTTTTTTTTAAGTGTGCACTTTAAAAACAGTTCAAGTTGTTTGCACATTGTCCTGTGCACAGAAAGGCTGCAGGTTCAATTCCTGTATCCCCCCTTCCCCTTAGGACAACTGATCAGTGTTTCTCTCTCATGTTGACCTCTCTCTCTCTCTCTCTCTCTCTCTCTCTCCCCCTCTCTCTCTCTCTCTAAGCATGTCCACTGGTGAGGATTTAAAAAAAAAAAAGAGAGAGCTCACCCTATCCGGTTTGGCTCAGTGGATAGAAATTCAGTCAAGATCACACACCTACCTTGCAGGCTCAAACCCCTGCCCTGGTCGGGGCACGTGTGGGAGGCAACCAATCTATGTCTCTCACATCCAGATCTCTGTCTCTCCCCGCCCTCCCACTCTCTAAAAATCAATGGGAGAATATCCTTGGGTGAAGATTAACAACAAAAAAGTTCAAGTGCTTTTCATTTGGTGATATGAATAGATGGGCTGACGGCAGTGTAATTTAGTTACAGAACACTCCCAACTTTGTTTTTTGAGTCACAAATAGGGAAATGGCGCACTGAGTATGTCTTCCTGAGGGGCCCTTCTACCCCCTAGGACTGATCAGGACAGGAACTGCTGAATCCCCGAACACAGAATTCGCATTAGCGCCCTTTTGCCAACTAGCGGATGCCTTGGACCGGTTTGCAAAATCCGTAAGCAGCGGGTCAGAGGCCTTGGGGCAGAGGTTGCCGCCTAAGGAAAGTAGACTTTACCCTGTTCCTCCCACCCCTGCTTGTCCATCCCTCCCCTGTCGGTCGGGTCGCTCCGGCTCCCGCCCAGGGAGAGGTTCCCGTGGGGAGGGGGAGGGGCATCTGGCCTGGCCGCTAGGGGCACGGACCTACGTCCTGACCCCGCCCACCTCAGGGGCAGCCTGCCTTCTGCCGGCCTGCTGCCCAATGCCGACACCCGACGCCGTCAGCGGCACCTGCTCTCACCAATCGGCTGCGAGCACGGCCCTCTACACGCCCTCGCGTCTTGGAGCGGGGGCGGGGCCACGCGCCGCGATAGGGTGTGGCGGCATGACTGGCACCGGCATCGTCCTTTAAGCGCGGGCGGGTGATCCTCTAGCTGCGCGTTGCCGGGCGGGAACCGCGGCGCGGCAGACGACCAGGCACGGAGCAGCGGGCGACATGTTCCACGTTCCGGAGAGCGAGGGCGGCCGAGCCAGCTCCAGGTGAGGCGCGGGCACGGGTGTTGGCGAAGGCGAGGGCGCGGGAGCGGTGTGGCCGGCGGGGGAAGGCCTGCGGGTGATCTCACAAAACCACGCACGGCCTCCGCTTCCGCGTCGGAGAGATGGGCGCGCACGCGGATGTGCTCCGGGGTCCGCCAGCGTCCGGGCTGAGGGCCTGAGGTGCGCCTTTGCACATTTTTCGTCTATAGCGCCCCGAAAAGATACCGGCAGATGGTCTGCTGCTTCGGGTGGGCAGTTCCGTGCGCCCGGACCAGGCGGGTGTGTGCTGAGCTGCGGGGCACCCTGCCGGTGCCTGGTGGCTGGTGGGCGGGCCTCGGGAAGGTCACCATCCTGAAATCCTCCCCAAACAGCGCAGACCTGTGGGGCCAGCTGGAGCCCACTCCTAACCCCGCAGCCCGGTAGCCGGGCGTTCCCGTCCTTAATCCCGCAGCCGCGGAGCCAGGTGGAGCCCTCCCCTAATCCCGCAGCTCCGCGAGGTAGGCCCGGTACTGCCCTCCCTGCTTTGTTGGTGAACCAGGCAGGACGACACGTAATAGAAACGGAGATTCCCATTGCAGGTCTCGGCTGGGCGGCCACGTTCAGGAATACACCGCAGCACGCCTTCTTTCTTTTTTAGAGATTTTTTTTAATTGATTTTTTTTTAGAGAGAGAATTAGGGAGAGAGAGAGGAACATCCATGTGAGAGCAGAGTACTCCCTCCCTGCCCGGGATCAAGCCAGGAACCTGGGCCTGGATCCTGACCTTTGCATTGGACCTCGCCCAACCCAACCGCAGTGGCCAGGGCAGCACGCTTTCTTCTCAAGTTTAAAGTGCTCTGTGTATTGTGAGTCAGATAAGTTAGAGTTGTCAGAGCTGGCCAGGTGTGTCATGCCACCGGGGAGCCGCCAGCTTGCACTGGGGAGTTTTGGGTCTTCAGGTGCCCAAGAGTTCTCTTTATTGTGAGAGCTCTTCAGTGGCCCAGCCTTCCCACCAGAGTAGAAGAGAATGTGTGTGTGAGCACCGTTAAGATAAATGCCGAGTAGACTAGATACTAGCTACTAAATAAAAGACTGTAAACTCGGGGGAGTTAGGTCGGTATTCAGTACACTTAACGAAATAAGTAGTCATTAACCTATGGCACAATGACTACTAGTCACTTGCATCTAATTCTGTATGGATAGGGGGGCAGCAGGATGGATGAATCAAGTTTCTGCTGCCTGGTAACTGCTGTTCTGCCCCACCCACACCAGCTTCTTCCCAGCACTTTTCCAGTTGCGTTCATTAAGTACATTCCCTCTTGTTTACACTGCCTGGCACTGGATGCCCAGGAAATGTTGGTTAAGGAGAAAACGCCATGAGTCACGGAGAGAAGGCTGACTTCGTTCACTGCAGAGCTGGTGCTCTAAGGTAGTACTCCACACTTCTCCGGGAGACTCATTTTTGGAGAGGACATTATGAAAAAAAGAGAAAAGTCTTCCTTTCAGGACATTGAAGAAGGAAAAGGAGTCGTAATTGGATGATTACATGTAATTGGAAGCTCTGCTTGGGATCCCTTGGAAGCTTAGCTTTTGACCCCCTTCTTAGAGGAGTTGATTAACTAGGGCGTTGTAGGACTCACACTTTAATTGGCTCTGCTGGGAGGGAACCCAGGGGTGGTGTAGGATCGAGCACCCAGCCAGGTTTTCTTCTCTCAGACCTGTATCTCTGTATTCTTGATGAGGGATGATTTTGTGTTAAAGGGATTTTGAACTATGAAAGCATTTTAGTTTAGCCATCATTCATCTAGGGTCTTTCCTTTAAGCTATAAGGAATTTAATCCAAGTCTGTTTCACTGCTTTAATCCAACCCTGACCAATCCCCTAAAGCTTTCCTGGCACAGGGACAAGATCTCGGAAGGTCTCTGCTCATGCTGTACATAGTCCCTGAGCTGCGTGTTTGCTCTTCTTGTCACATGCCCCTTAGTTCCTCTTGTATTTTGAATATCTTTGTTGAAATATATTGAACGGATATTACAAAATGAAGAAGTAACCGGAAGGAAGCCCCACCATGTGGTTTCATCCCCAATATGTCTTTGCGCACTAGTATTCCCACCCCCTCCCCAAAACTAGTGTCATAGTGTTAACAGTGCAACTGATTGAGCCTTTGTGGGTTCTGTTCTTACTGAAATGTCTGTCTAACTCTTGGCCCCATTTCTTTGAGACCCTGTTGGGCAGCCTGGGCCGTGTGTGTATGACTGCCCCAGTATGGCTGTGAACCTGCCTTTGTGATGGAGATAGTCGCTGCCTCTTCCAGGGAGCTTGGCTGTTATGCACAGGAATCTCTGCTGTGGTATTATTGGCACCACTAGCCTTTTCTTCACTTGTTTTCAAAGGAAAATAAAATTCACAAAGGTACAGAGAGTAATAGAATAAACACTATATTTCCACCACCCCCATTTAACATTTCAGCATTTCAAATAGAGCTGTGGTTTATCTCCTGTGCCCCAAAGGCTCTTTCCTCACAGATCGCAAACTCAGTTTGGGCCTCGCCACGGATGCCTTTGGAGTTCCGCTAGCATTCAGCGCTTCTATGGCATCGCTCACAGAACACTGAAACCACCCATCACAGCTCTATTTTCCCAGCACACCTGAAGTTTCTCTAGGCCAAGGACTTGCTCTCACTCACCTTTCTATCGGCAGTGTCTGGCACAGGCTTGCCAGCGATAGGTGCTCAGAGGACATGAGTTGAACTGAATGAAGCAAGGGTGAGAGGCTGCGGAGACTTGGGAGATCCAAGAATGTAGAATGTGAGAGTCAAGAAAGCGTCCTAAGAGCTTTGAATCAAGATGAGTCTACCCAGAATCTGGTCTGACAATTTTCTGGGACCTTTAGGGTTTGAAAGAAGAGCCATGTTTCGAATGAGTTAGTAAAATGAGAATTTTAACTGATGCCAGCATGAGATGGTGTTAAATTCAAATCCGTTCTGAAGATTACAGGTCTCTATTCCCTTTTTCAAAGAGATGGCTGTGAAGACCCAAGCAGGTTGTACCTGCTGTAGCTAGCCAAGCAAAATATGAAGAATATCATTGTGATCTGGGCTCTCTCTCTGACTTATAAATACATACAGGCGTCAGATGGCCTCCCCGTGTCCACCAATAAAGTGCATCATCAGTCCTATTAAGTCTTTTAAGTCTAGTTATTGGTTAGTTTAAAAAAAAATTCCCCTCAAACTGAAGTAATTTTTTTCCTTCATTAAATCCTTAAGGAAACGCTAACTGCTGACCAGGCACCCACCTTTGCCATCCTCTGAAGCAGACAGGGACTATGGGCACCACATGGAAGGCCTGCAAGTTGCACTCTTGGCTTCTGTGGGGAACAGCTGGCCTGCTGGTCTCCCCAGGCCGGGGCTGGCATGTCTGCCCTGTAGAGCAGACGAGTGCTTTCTGCAGTCCTGCTTTACAGCCATGGAATCTCAGAGCTGTTCACTTTAAATTGCAGTGAATGATTAGCTCCCATTCTAGCTCTTTTGAGGAAACATTTAAATATCCTATTTTTGTGAACTAAATCTGTGACCGCGTTTATATAGCTTTCCAGTGAGGACTCGCCTCGAATCCGAGCATTCATGTGGTGGTGAGCTCTGTGATTTCATCTGTTTCTAAATGTTGTTGTTGCTTGGGACTTGCGAAAGAGCCTGGACCACGCACCAGTTTAAAACTCAATTTCAGTAGGCCCCTTTCTCCTTTAAGATGCATTTAAAAAAATCTTTCTAGGTGTTCTAAAAAGATGCTTTGAATTCACTGTGTTGCTGCTTTGTGAAACTAGACAAACTCAAGGTATCAGGGTAGAGCTTTGTGAAAATTTAATTCTTTAGTTATTGCAACAGTGACTCAAGGTCCTAATCTTCCTCTTCTGAAATGTTCACTTTAAAACCTCCCAAGATGGGGTAAGTGATCAACCAAAGGACTTGCATACATGCATATAAGCATAACCAATGGACACAGACACTAGGGCGGTGAGGGCATGTGCCGGGGGTGGGGGAGGTCAATGGGGGGAAAAGGAGACACATGCACTACTATTTGTAATACTTTAAACAACAACAACAACAAAATCCTCCCAAGGGGGACACTTCAGGTAGACACTGCTATTGTTGGCTGAACAGTGGGAATGCCACTATTCTTTGTAGGTGTTCAATTAAAATCAACCCTCATGTACACTATTCCTCTCGAAAGCACGCCTGCACCTTTCTTTTCTCTCAGGTGCGCATCTCCTAAACTCTAAGGGACCCCAGGAGAGCAACGGGCAGCAGCAGCTCATCCCAGGCTCACCCCCTGACCTGTCTCCAAGGCCCCTTTTCTCCGAGTTTCCAGTGAGCCAAAGCAGCCTGCCTCGTCTCTCTTCTGTTATTTCTTCTGTCCTAAGCCCTTCCTGTTTGACTGTCCCCAGCTTTAATTAAATAGACTAAAAAAAATAATAAAAATCAGCCAGCCCGGCTGGCGTGACTCAGTGGCTGAGTGTCAACCTAAGAACCAGGAGGTCACAGTTCCATTCCCAGTCGAGGGCACACGCCCAGGTTGTGGGCTCAATTCTAGTGTGGGGCATGCGGCAGGCAGCCTATCAATGATTCTCTCATTGACATTTCTCTCTCCCTTTCCCCTCCTCTCTGAAATAAATTAAAATGTCTTTAATTAAAACTAATCAACCATAGGTGTTTTATTTTATTTTTAATATATTTTTATTGATTTCAGAGAGAAAGGGAGAGGGAGAAAGAGATAGAAACATCAGTGATGAGAGAGAATCATTGATTGGCAACCTCCTACACTCCTCCTACTGGGGACCAAGCCCACAACCCAGGCATGAGCCTTTGGCTGGAATCAAACCTGGGCCTGGGACCCTTCAATCTGCAGGCCATCGCTCTATCCACTGAGCCAAACCAACTAGGGCAACCGTAGATGTTTTAGAGATGACATGGTGCATATGTGTTGATCTGAAATGAACAGTGGTGCTTGCAGGTGTTCAACATTTCACTGGTTATACTGGACTGGAGGACCAGAGATGATTATCTTGGTGTAGATTCTCAGGACTCACCTGGATTAATGTTGGTGGCACTCCCCATGGTCTAAGGTGACACTTGCCAGTAAAAGTGTGAGCCACATAAGGAATTTTAAATGTTCTAGTGGCCACATTTTTAAAAGTAAAAAGAATCAGAAAAAATTAATTTTAATAGACATAATTCAACCTAATATGTACAAAGCACTGTTTCAACCTGTGATCTATATAAATGTCAAGATTAAAGAGATATTTGGCCTTTTTGTCTTTGAAATCTAGTGTGTAGTCTACAGTTACAGTACACTTAAGTCCTTACTTCCACATCCAAGTGCTCACTAGCCACAGTGGCCGGTGGCTGCCCTTCTGAAGACCAACTCTGTGGGTCAGACTTGATCTGTGGTTAAATGGTGAGCTTCCCCCTCGTTTTTTCTTGGAGGGCTTTAAGAGGCATTAGGGCATAGTCCAAGCTCCAGATCCAGCCTGCCTGGGCTTGGGTCCTGGCTCTGCCACTCCTTGTGTGACCCTATCTTGTGATTTCTCTTCATCTCAGATGCATGGTCTGTGAAAACAATGCCTGCCTTAGAGGGCTGTGTGTAAGGTCTTTGGAACAATAGTTGGCATATAGTAAGCTACAGTCTTAAACACCACTGAATATATTTACTGTATGCTAATTAAAATTTGTATTAAATTCTGAATGTGGCTCAATTTACCTGTTTTAGAGAAACTTATAAGAGGTCCCAGGAATAATTTAAAAAATATACACGTTTCAAGTGGGTTTTTGGCGTAACCAAGACATACAGAGAAAACTTTTAAGGAAGCCTTAAGGGCAGTAGAGGAAGTTTGCCATAAAGCCATCTGTAAACTAGTCACGCCAGTTTGGAGTAGTTGCGGTGTGTAATTTTTTCATAGATGTTAATTATGGACATTGAAATCCAGGTCAGCCTCCATTTCTCATGCTTGCTCTGTGCTTGCAGGGGCATGCATCCCCCCGGAGGCGCATCGAGTGATCTTTTCGGAAGTCCAGACGAAGTTGTTCCTTCAAGTCGACCCAACAGGATGGCATCGAATATTTTTGGACCAACTGAAGAACCTCAGAACATGCCTAAGAGGACCAACCCCCCAGGTATAGGCTTTTGTGACTCATTGGTCCTTTGGCCTCTACTTGTCCTTATGAAGCTGCTCTTTTGATAAAATTTTCTTTTTCTTTAATCCTTTCACATATCTTCTGGTATAGGTTATCCATTGCCATCAGAGTTCTAGAATGTGAGAAAGGGTTGCTCAGTCATTCCTTGAATTCTCCCTCTGTAGCAACAGACATTGGCTGGGTGTAGGCACTGAGAATGCAAAGGCTGATGGTGGAATACTGGCTCCGGCCAGGGAGACTCTCCCAGTTGTACCATGGACTCCTTGAGATTCCTGAAATTGTGTACAGGTTACACATGTAAACATTTTTCTTGCCCTGGCCAGTGTGGCTCAGTTGGTTAAGTGTTGTCCCATGCATCTAGAGGTCGCCAGTTCGATTCCCTGTCAGGGCACATGCCTGGGTTGTGGACTCAATCCCCAGTAGGGGGTGTGTAGGAAGCAACTGATCAATGTTTTTCTCTCACTCTCTTTTTTAAAAAAACCAATAAAAAAATTTTTTTAAACAATTTTCTTAGGTGTTTTTTTGTTTGCTTGTTTATTTGTCTTTTTAATCCTCAACTGAGGGTATTTTTTTCCATTGATTTTTAGAGAGAGAGTGGAAGGGAGGGAGAAGGAGGGGAGAAGGAGAGAGGGAGAGAAAAAGAAACATTGATGTGAGAGACACATTGACTAGTTGCCTCCTGTATGCGCCCTGAATGGGGCTGGGGATCAATCCTGCAACCAAGGTACGTGCCCTTGACTGGGAATTGAACCTGAGACCCTCTGGTCTGTGGGCTGACACTCTAACCACTGAGCAAAACTGGCTAGGGCTGTTTGTTTTTTAATCCTCACCCAAAGATATGTTTTTATTGATTCTTAGATTGGGAGAGAGAAATATTGATGTGAGAGAGAAACATTGATCAATTTGCCTCCCTTTCGCACCCTGCCTGGGGTCGAACCTGCAACCTTTTGGTGCACAGAACAACCAAGTGAGCCGCCAGGGCAAGAAGAAAGGGTATTTTTTAGTCAGCTTGTTGGTGGGATTAAAACTCTAAAAGGATGACTTGGTCTAGCACACGTCTCTTAGTTCTTAGCCACATTCTGGTGGGTATAGTGGGAGAGCATCTTAGAACAATGTTTTCCTTGGCTAGTAGACTGTCCAGTTGATTGATCATACGGTGCTGGTTACCTAAGGAGCTCTCCCCTGTCTGTATCTATGAGGAAAAGGAAGGTTCATTCCATCTTTAAAGATTTTTGAGGCTAGACATAGGAATCAGTATTTCAGACAAATAATAAAATCAAGCAGAACCAGAGCTAGAGCTGCTTGCCACTCCACCTCAGTTCTAGGTGTGTGTGTATTCGACCAGTGCACATACTTCTTGACCAAACCCAAAGAAACAAAAGCAGTAGATTCAAAAGCTAGTGTTTTGTTTGATTTGTTGGGGGACAGGGAAGTGTAGATATAGTTATAGTAGAGAAGCGGGGAGTTTTACTGAGTAGTGTTCTCACTATCCAGTTTATGGGTGTAGGGCCAGGAGGGGTCAGCCCTGCACATCCTTTGTACCAGTAACAGCATAACAATGGGTCATGTGGCCGATTGAATCAAATCTCAGGCACCTGAAGGTGGACAAGCCAGCTCCTTTGGCTTTGCCTCAGCAGAGTGCATATCGAGCTGTCCCTGGGGTGTCAGGTTCCCTGGAAAGTGTTGCAACTTGGGGACAGTGCTATTCGGAATCTGAGAGCTGGTAGCATCTATACAATCCAGTGGTGGTTATGTGTTTGCTTTGTCTTTGTGATGGTTGTGTCTTACAAACTTTTCTGGTATGATCCCCCAGCTCTCGTGCCCAGTGGCCACCCTGGGCCCCTCTTGACTTGAGAGTGAGAAAGCCTGTCGTTCATGATTACAAGGTGTATTAACAACCAGCATGATTCCTTTTGCTGAGTTCCTCCTTCTTGTGGTCCTGTTATTTGAGCTTTGTTTTCTGTCCTGCCAAGTGCTCTTTAAAATTATCTGTGATGAGCACAGCTGGTGTGGCTCAGTTGGTTGAGCGTCATCCCATACATCAAAAGGTCACCAGTTCAATTCCCAGTCAGGGCACATGCCCAGGTTGGGGGGCTTGATCCCCAGTAGGGGTCTTGGAGGGGGTAGCTGATCGATATATCTCTCTCCTCGATGTTTCTCTCCCTCTTCCTGAAATGGGTTTTTGGTTTTTTTTATTGATATCAGAGAGGAAGGGAGAGGGAGAAAGAGAGATAAATATCAGTGATGAGAGAGAATCATTGATTGGCTGCCTCCTGCACACACCGCACACTGGGGATCAAGCCCGCAACCCAGACAATGTGCCCTGACTGGGAATCGAACCGTGACCTTCTGGTTCATGGGTCGACACTCAACCATTGAGCCAGACTGGCTGAACTGAAATCAGTTTTTAAAAAAAATTAAATGTGATGAATTCTCAAGGGAAGCTGGAAGTGGAAAACTGCTAGTTGTATCCACAACCCCAGACCTAAACGCCTGCCTTTGTTTCTTATTTAGTCTTGCAGACTTAGCCAGCATAGCCCATCAATGAGAGGGCCTGATTGAGAAAAGTGTGAAGGGCAGAGTGTGTGACTTAGTACGTGAGTCACGGAAAATTTACCAAGGATTGTCATACCCAGTGTGTCATTTACTCCTCATTTATGTGCTTTGCTACTGGCCTTGTTTAGATCTTCTACAGATTGTTTTTCCTGGTGGTCTAACAGTGATTGATATGTGCGGGTTTAATATCTGCCAGGGAGTATGCTAAATGCTTTGCAGGTATTTATTTAATTCTCTGTACAAATCTAGGAGGTAGTGGCATTACCCCCTTGACATGGAGAAAACTGAGGCTCAGGGCAGTTCACAGGTGTGTTAAGCCCCACAACTCATTGGTAGCAGAGCTAGCTTTTGCATATGGCTTTTCTGACTCCAGAGCTCCAACCTTACCTCCTGAGTATATCTACTGGGATAAATTACTCAGAATAGAAGTGTTGAGTGATTTAAAATACTGATAGATACTTCCAACTAGTCTTTAATGGGTGGCCCAGTGTTCACCCATTAAATGGGTTCACCCATGTGATGTTGCTCCTCACACTCTACCATCATATATCTTAAATTTATTTTTCTTCAGTTATGGATGGATTAAGCACCTTTTCTATCTGGAAAGCTGAATTCATCTTTCAGGTAAAATATTGAGTAATAGACATGACTAATTGAAGTTCAAAAACAGAGCTATAGGGTTGGACATATACACAGTAAAACCTAAAATAAATAAGTTTGCAGTTTCTAGAAAATTGAGGCATGGAGTGATGTGAAAGGAATACTCAGGTTTCTGTGAGCTGGTGGCATCAATACAATCTGTTGGTAGGTATGTGGGTGTTTGCTTTGTCTTTATTTGTGATAGTTGTATCTTATGAACTTTTCTGTTACGTTTAACAATTTAGAAAATGTTTTTAAATGAGCGTGGCTCTAGCCAAAACCTTCATATTGAGTTACTTTTATCTAACTTTTTTTAAAAGCTGAATATTCATTTTAAAAACTAGAGGCCTGGTGCACAAATTTGTGCATGGGTGGGGCTGCGGGCAGTTGGCCAGCTGGCCCCACCCCCTGGTCGAACTCCCAGTCAAGGGGACAATGTGCATATTAGCCTTTTATTATATAGGACAGGATAATTCACTTCAGCATCACCAGAAACAACGCAATAAGGGGATGACCTCAAGCGTTACTTTTTCTTCACCTTGTGGCCTAGACGTTTTTGCTAACAGCACACTGTTAATGACAGCCTGGCAGCATGTTCCCGCATGTATTTCACCGGCTGCCCCAGGAAGGTATTATTACTTATACCTTGTTAGAGTTGAGAAAATGGGGACAAAAGAAAGTTGAGGTCACTTGTCCCGGCTCACCAGGAAGTGACTGAACAGGGTCTCCATCCATCAGTCTGGCCATAGCTCAGCTGTCCTTAACACCATGCAGAGCTGATTTCCCATCCCCAGAGTTCCCAGCGTGGTGTCTGTGGCTCCTTGGGAGGTCCATAGCCAAGGTTCAGGTTTGTAATCACCCTGATGTTATATGAATGTGCGTCTGCACATTTTCCTGCAGAGCAGGCCCGCGTGTTCTGTGTCCTCCCAACCAGCAAAGGCAGGGAACTGCAGTCCAGTCGCTCCTTTCTGTGCACCATGATTCTACGTGTCCCCTAGAGAGCGGTCACCAACCTTTTGGGCTGCCCTGGAGGACTGGCATCCTGGAAGGCCACTCTGCTTTATTTATTATTTATTTATTTCATTTACTTATTTATTTTTTATTTCAGAGAGGAAGAAGAGAGATAGAAACATCAATGATGAGAGAGAATCACTGATCAGCTGCCTCTGCATTCCCCCTGCTGGGGTTGAGCCCACAACACGGGCCTGTGCCCTGACCGGAATCAGACTGGTGACCTCCTGGTTCATAGGTTGACACTCACCCTCTGAGCCGCACCAGTTGGGCATCCACTCTGCTCTAGAATCCACTCCAACAGCAGGGTCGGCAGGCTATCGAGAGAACAAATCCCCGAGGAGCCTCCTGCTCTCTGAGCTCCCACGGGACTCGTCATTCATACTGTTTTTAGCATTCATGGCCTTCTTTTGAAGCAGTGTGGGTTATTGTAGCCAAGAAACGACTGTAATCACTTTTCCTTATTCAGATATAAGCAAAAAAGAATACCCCCCCCCCTTTATTTTACATTAAGATGTTGTGTGCTAGGTAGATTGTTTTACACCATTTTTCACTGAACAGTATGTCCAATACAGAGAAAATACAGCCAACATTTATTGAGCATTTATGTCCCAGGCATTGTTCGAAGCATCTGACATATGAGCTACAGTAAGTCATTGAATCCTCTCAGTGCTGTGAAGAAGATCCTTTTATTACCCCCAGTCTACAGATGAGGAATTTGGGGCACAAAAAGGCCAAGTAACCTCTGTACAGTCGTATAGCTATTTAATGGAGTGCATCTTCTTTCCTCCTATAATATTGTTGGTGCACCAGGGCCATGATGACAATGGTCCCAGCGTTTAGCAGAGCACTCTGGAAAGGAAGTGCATGTGTGGTGTTTGCCCAGTGAATAAATGACATATTGGTATTGTATAGTAGCCATCTTTCTACTTAATGTGGGGCATTTAAACATTTACTTTTCATGGCCAGGCCTTACTCATCAGCTTATACGAAGTTACATCTTAGATGCATGTCTTCATTATGTCTTATCAGATGACTTAGAGTTGGCAGCAAAGATGTTAAATGTCTGTGTTTTGCTGACATATCTACTTGTCACTGGAAATTCTAGCCAGAATGAGGTCAGAAAATTACTACTAAATGTTATTTTCCAGATTACAGCTTTGCCTGTAACAGGACATGTTATTAAATTCATTCCTTTCTGTCTGACCTAAAAACTTAGAAACTTTTTGCTTTTAACTTGCTAAAGAACATTTCATGGGTTTAATGAAGAAGATTCTTTAACAAAAAAAGCATGAAAAGTTCAGGGGTAAAGAAATTGGGGGCGGGAGGGGATGCTGCTTTATGCCCTCTCACCGTCTTGCCTCCCAGTTCAGCTCAGTTCCAAAATGAAGGCCCCAGCAGGCACCTGGGAAAGGGGTTAGGTCTTTAGGGACTCACTATCCCCCCCTTGTTGGCCTGAAATCAGGACGGGACTAGGGTGTTACTAAGAGGAGCTCTCTGAAGTGATGAGTGTGAAAGGCAGGAGCAGGGAGGTGTTCTGGATTGCTCACTGCTCTGTGTTGTCTCTGCAGGGGGAAAAGGAAGTGGTATCTTTGAAGAATCCATGCCTGTGCACACTCGACAGCGTCTGAACCCGCCTGGTGGGAAGACCAGTGACATTTTTGGGTCCCCAGTGACGGCTACTTTACCCTTGGCACATCCCAACAAACCCAAGGTATGGACTCCATTCGGATAGTAGGCATAGAAAGAACAGCAAACATTGAGCCAGGCTCTTTTTCTCAAAGGCCCTGAGGCAGCTTGGACATGTTATTAGGAATAGACAGGAAGGGTGACGTTGGTTTTCCTGGGTGCAGTCATTAGTAATTGAGTTTTGAAACTCCCCTGAGTCATCGGAGAAATAGATTTCATCCTCGTGATGATGGAGCCCTGGGGGAAACTGGTCTTAGTGTGTTGATAGCAGCAACTGCCCACTGCAGATAGGCGGCTGCTCTTCTCTGCACAACACTGAGGGGTGGCAAGAATAGTTACAGAATTGTTCATACAACAGAGAAGCTTATGTTTCACAAAAATTTCACAATTTTTAATGGCTGTTGATAAGTACAACTGCATTGGACTAAAATTCACCAAGTATTTAGAATTCATGGGTTCCCTACTTACACTTTTTTAAATCTTTTTTTTTTTTCTGGTCAGCCCTTACCCGAGGATACTTCTCCATTGATTTTTAGAGAGAGTGGGAGAGAGAGAGAGAGAAACATTGATGGGAGAGAGACACATCAATTGGTTGCCTCCTGCATGTGGAGATCAAACTTGCAACCGAGGTACATGCCCTTGACCAGACTCAAACCCAGGATCCTTCAGTCTGAGGGCTAACACTATCCACTGAGTCAAACTGGATAGGGCTACTTTTTAAAATCTTATTTATCACCTTTGGAGAATGACAGAGGATCAACTCAATATCATGAAAACTGCTAAGAGAGTCAAACATTTGTTTGTTTGTTTTAAATATGTTTTTACTGACTTTAGAGAGAGGAGAAGGGAGGGAGAGAGAGAAAAACAAAACATTTAATCGGCTGCCTCCTGCATTCCCACTACTGGGGATTGAGCCCATAATCCCGGCATGTGCTCTGACCAGGAATTGAACCAGTAACCTCTCAGCACGGGATATGCTCAATCAACCTAGCCACAACGACCAAGACAGAATCAAGCATTTAGACAGCATTTTCTGCATGAATTGTACTTCAGGATAACAGTTTTTAAGGCAAATTTGCCTTTTATAAAAGTACTCTAGCCTGTAAGTGAAGAAGGAATATCAGAATTCAAATATCACCATTCTGCAGAGTTGTAATGAAATTGTGAATCTAGGCAGTGATCATCAGTGGTTCTTAACGTCACAAAATGAGAGACAAACCAAAAATTATAGGACTCATAATAGACCACCTTTGATTATCAAAAAAAAACAGGACCGAATGAGATCAAACCTCATATTAGTTGATACCACAGAGATTCAGAGTTATTGAAAATATGGGAAATTAGTAGCAGTGTGGAGGGATATTCTAATTTTTTAAAAAAAGACTTAAGAACACAATCCCTATCAAAATCCCAACAATGCTTTTTTTAAAAAAATAGACCCATTTTAAAACTCATATGGAATTTCAAGGGACCCGAAGAGTCGAACAACCTCGAAAATGAAGAACGAAGTTGGAGGTTTACTCCTCGCAATTTCAAATTTACTATAGTAATCAAAATTGTGTGACGCTGACATAAAGATAGACAAATAGAGACCAGAACTTGGCTGGAGATCCTGGCTAGAGATCCTGGCTAGGCTGCTGATCAACTGAACGCTGTCTCCGTGTCATTCCTTCTTCGCCGACTCCGTCCACACCTTTGGGGACCCCTGGACCTGCTGGGGTTGGACTCCGGCAATACAACTTAGAACCTTATTTAATTATTTGTATGGCACTGGATTCTCATTCCTGAAAGAGTAGTAGAATATGTCTTTCTTTCTCATATATATAGTGTAAATTTGAATACCTATGAAATTTTATAAAAAGTATGTAGCATGAGTTAAGAATTTAAATATTTAAAGTTCACATCTCCACTTTACCCACCAAGAAAGGACATTCAACCCTCTATTTAGCTATAATTCAAAAATCCTAGTGGAGGCCTCTGGCCCAATTTGTTTTACTTACCCACTACCCACAGTTAGCAGAATAGGATATTGTGATTGGCATCTTCCTCTAGAGCTATTGGGCTGAAGAAGGGCTAGAGCAAATTGTCACAAGTAGAAAATGCTATTATGAAGTGAAGGGAGGCTTTCTTAGAGGAAGAAAGAATAACTGTCCACAATAGGAAGGTAACGAGGATGGAATGTTATAATTTGTGTGAAATACGGGTCAAGGGTATTATACCTGAAGATAGGGTGCCCACATAGGTATCCATATCACCCTGAAATCAGCAGGAAAAACCAACTAATTAATAACTCTTTTTCAAACAATCCAGAACTTCTCACCATATATTTTCAGTGCTATGCTATGCAGTCACTGCTAAGTGGAGTGGTATCAGTAAGACTTGTTTTATATCTTTACATTAGATAATTATGCCTTCCTCTTCTTTGTTGCTTTATTTGTTTGTTTATTTTATTTTTTGAGGCATGGGCTAGATAATCATATTCTTTGTAAGTTGTAGACATCCCACAAAGTACTACAGTATATATAGTATATATAGTAGACAGTAAATACTCAAAAAATATACATTTATTAACCAACCTTTCACTTCTCCCATCATGTATCTTAGTTGATGATTTTCCTGCTGTTTCCAGCCAAAACTGCCATAAACTCATGAGCTAAGACTAAAAAAAAAAAAAAAAAAAAAGATAGACAAATAAACCAGTGGAATAAAATTGAGAACTAAGAAATAAATTCACGTTTATGGTTAAGTGGTAATATCCACAGGGTGCCACGATCATTCATTGGGGAATAGAACAGTCACTTCAACAGATGTTGCTGGGGAAATTGGATATGCACATGCAAAAAATGAAGGTGGACCCTTACCTTACACCATATACACTTACCTTACACCATATACAAACATTATCTAAAAATGGGTCAAAGACTACATTTAAGGGCTAAAACTACAGAATTCTGGGAAGAAAATTTAGGGACAAATCTTTTTGATCTTACTAGATTTGATAGTGGCTTAAATATGACACCAAAAATAAAGGCAACAAAATTTCAAATAAATAGGACTTCATTAAAATTTAAAAACTTTCAGCCCTGGCCGGGTACCTCAGTTGGTTAGAACATCGTCCTGCTATGCCAAGGTTGTGGTTCCATCCCCAGTCAGGGCACATACAAGAATCAACAATGAATGCATAAATAAATGGAACGACAAATCGATTTCCCTCTCCTCTCCTTTCCCTTCCTCCCTTTCCTTCCCCCTTCTCTCTCTCAATCAGTAGAAAAATTTTAAAGATACCATCAATGGTATTAATTACAGTAGCCAAGATATGGAAGCAACCTAAGTGTCCATTGATAGATAAATGAATAAAGATGTACATATATACAGTGGAATATTATTCAGCCATAAAAAAAGAATGAAATCTTGCCATTTACGGTAGTTTGGATAGAACTAGAAGGTATTATGCTTAGTGAAATAAGTCAAACAGAAAGATAAATACCATATGATTCACTTATATGTAAAATCTAAGAAACAAAGTAAATGAACAAACTCAGATGCAGAGTACGAATTGGTGGTTGCCAAATGGGAGGGGGGTTGGGGTGCTGGGTGAAAAAAATGAGAGGGAAATTGCCAGTTATAAAAATAGTCACAGGCCTGGCTGGTGTGGTTCAGTAGTTGAGTGTCAACCTGTGAACCAGGAGATCACTGCTAGATTCCCGGTCAGGGCACATGCCCAGATTGCCTGCTTAATTCCCAGTGAGGGGCATGCAGGATGCATCCCATCAGTGATTCTCATCATTGACATTCCTTTCTCTGTCTCTGTCTCCCCCTTCCTCTGAAATCAATAAAAATCTATTTAAAAAAAAATAGTCACGGGCTATAAAGTACAGCATAGTGAAGAGTCAACAATATTATAATAACTATGGTGTCAGATGGGTAATAGGCTTATAGGGGTGATTACTTTGTAAGGTATATAAATGTCTAATCACTTTTTCATACACCTGAAATTAATATGTATGTCAACTGTAATTAAAAAATAATTTTTAAAAAACCACTATCGCCGAAACCGGTTTGGCTCAGTGGATAGAGCGTCGGCCTGCGGACTGAAAGGTCCCAGGTTCGATTCCGGTCAAAGGCATGTACCTGGGTTGCGGGCACATCCCCAGTGGGAGATGTGCAGGAGGCAGCTAATCGATGTTTCTAACTCTATCTCTCTCCCTTCCTCTCTGTAAAAAAATTAATAAAATATATTAAAAAAAAAACAGACTATCATGAGAATGAAAACACAACCCATAGAATATATGAAATCACATATCTGATGAAGGTTTGCTATCCAGATTATATAAAGGATTCCTACAACCAAACAACAAAAGACAACCCAATTCAAAATGGACAAAGGATTGAATAGACGTTTCTTCAATCAGCACATGAAAAGATGTTCAGCATTCTTAGTCCTTAGGGAAACGCACATGAAAATCACAAGGAGGTAGCACTTCACACCCACGAGGATGACCATTATAAAAACAAAACGAGAACAGAAAATAACAAATGTTGTTTGTTGGCAAGAATATGGAAAAATTGAAACCAACAATGCTATTGAGAATGTAAAATGGTTCAGCCAATGTGGAAAACAGTTGGAGTTTCTGAAAAAGTTAAACATAGAATTTACCATGTGATCCAGCTATTCCCCTCTTAGGTATATATTCCCAGAATTTGAAAACAGGCATTCAAATATTTGTACACCTATTTTAATAGCAGTACTTATAGCGATGCTATTAAACAATCCAAGTGTCAACCAACAGGTGAATGGATAAATAGAATGTGTTATACATACATAATGGGATATTCAGCCATAAAAAGGAATGACATTTCTGATACATGCTACAAGATGGATGAGCCTTGAAAACATCCTAATCTTCTAAAATTTGGGTATTAGATATTTAAGGAATCAGTTATTTTTGTAATTGTGTGAGTGTTATGGGTGTTTGGTTGGTTTTTAGGACATTTTTAAGAGCCACGTCTTGAATTATTTATGGGTAAGTGAAATTTCTAGAATTTGCTTTAAAATAATTCCACAAGGGGGTGGAGAGATTGTAATTGGGAGACTGTGGCTGAGACCAGGATGGCAATGAGTTGATGTCATTACAGCTCTACGGCGGGTTATGAGGGGATTCACAGTGCTACTTTGTTTATGCTTTAAATTATCCATAATAAAAACATTTTTAGAAGTTGAAAATGAACCCAAATCATCCATCTATGTCTTGATTTTCATCGTCCATCTGAATGATCGTAAAAAGTTTCTGAATCACATATTGACCTGGGGTTTGCCTTGTTGCAGGACCATGTGCTCTTGTGTGAAGGAGAAGACCAAAAATTGGACCTTAAAGGTGAGTTTGTGTCCTGTCCCTTCCCCTGAGTGCTCTCACTCTGAAAGAGTTGCTGGTGCACCCAGAGAATGAGAGGTAATATTCCTGTGTCCCTTGCAAGCCAGCTGAGAAAAACAAGGTTGTGTTTATTGCTGAGGATTTAAGATTTAAAGAAGGCCAGGGAAATGGGCTCAGCTATTTCTGATGATAGCTTTTCAACTGCTCATCACTGATTTTTCTTCACAACTTGTCATTACTCATCAGCCTAGGCCTAAGACCCAAGGTGTTCTATTCTAGAAGCTGGTCTTTTGTAGGGAAGGGCAGGGATCCAAAGCCTCGTGACTGCGGGTAGCACCAGGAGAACTAATGCAGAAAAGAAGGGCATAAGAAGAGCAGGGACAGGAATGATGAGCAGAAAGAATGTGAGGCTTGCATGTGGTGGGGAGAGCTGGTGCTTCCACAATCCATCACCCAGGGAGTGAGCTGCCCCCATGGTGAGGCTAGATGTCAGACTTGGAGTCCCACTGTTGTTCTCAAAGCTGACAGCACTGATTGCTGCCTTTGGGTCACCATTTCCCTCAGTTGACGACCAAGATATGTGGGAATTCATTCATTCACTCAAAACATCCAGAGTAATAGTGTCAGAAAACCTTGCCTCATCTTGCTAGACCCTCCAGTTAAGACTGGCTTCCTCTCTGTTCATGCTTGCTTTGAGATAGTGTGCTTTTTATATTTTTGGTGGAGAAAAAGGGAAATGGAGTCCAACAAGCAATATAAAGAAGTATTCAGATTATTTAGGAATGTATCGAGGATTATTTATAGTACTGAGCCCCACTTTATGCCCAGTTCAAGAATGGCCTCTGCTAATAATCAGTGAGTCTTCTTGGCACAGACGGAAGCCTTGCTCTGTTTTTCTGTCTTCCCATTACAGAATGCATTTCTTGCTAGCTGGTCTATGTCACAGACTGTCCATGTGCACAGCTCGCCCATCCAGGTGTTGGGGAGCCTCTAATGGATGGTTTGTTGCTTTGTCCCACAGCTGCCATGAGCACCTTGCCCAGAGAAGAGCCAGGTGAGAAAGGTGGCCCAAGAGAAGCAGACTCTGCCCAGGAGCCCCAGCCCACACCCACGGCTGACAACCATGAGCCCAGGCTGGGCCCACGTCCTCGATCTCACAACAAAGTCCTGAATCCACCTGGAGGCAAATCCAGCATCTCCTTCTACTAGAGAAGCTATTGCTTCCCCTGTAGCCAGATAAGAAACTCGAGAGATAGGATTTCAAATATTATAGTTTCCTTTAGCCCAAAGGAACGGGGGTGGGGAGAGGGTCTGTCGTGTATCTGAAGCCACTGCTCAGGCTCCCCTGCCACCACAAGAGCCACAGAGGACCTCACCTTCCAGACTGCCGAGAGACATATCTTTGTGGGGGGCTGTGACGCCGTGGTGAACAGTCCTACGTAATTTTGGAGGAACTTCCAGATGGGCTGGGTGGGGAGCTGGTGCAAGGCTACAGGGTTCCTGATGAAGTGAGATCTTCCAAGTCCTGGTTGCATCGGTGACCTGCCAGCCAATTGGGTATCTAGGAATCACTCCACACAGTAGCAGAGTTCAGAGCCTCAGAAAGAAAGCCAAAAACCAACTGTGCATTGGGCATAAGCCGAAACACTAGTCTCCATTCTTGGGACTATTGCTGCTAACCCGAGACGACCTTTGCACCCAGGCACAGAGTATTCTGCAGTCTTTTCTTGAAACATTTTGAGTGCTTTCCCTCGGCAGCTGTCAACAAAAACCAAAAAGTTTTCTCAGTCTTAGGCTTTATGGAGAGATTTTGTACCTTGATCCTCTGGGGTGATCTATCTGCCTTTCACTCACAATGGACTGGACTCAGTCTCTTCACAGACTGGTTTTGCTTATGAATTGTTTTGGGTGTTTTTTTCTCTCTCATCCTTAAATTTCAGTCTTAGCTCTTCAACACTAATGTGGACAGTTAATTTATCTGCAAGGCCCGCTGACTTCTGTAAGACTAAAACTCTACCCAGATACATAATTGGGTTATTTAAATCTTTCATGTGTCTTACTTTCTTCCTGTTGACATTGGGAAGAAGAGATACTTGGGAACCTTGAGTTCTTAGGTTTAATAATATCTAAAGAGCTATTCTTAAACACCAGCTTCACATAAATGACTACTGACTCTGGTCTGTTTCTGACACCTTTCTAGACAAAAAGTTAGTTGCTCAGGTGCACCAAAGAGGAGGGAAGGTTTGCTTAGGCCACCCTTTATAAAGCTTTGAAGCCCTCTGGGCCAGAACCTTTGGACCATAAATCAGTTTCCAGAAGAGACTTGGAGACCTTAGGCTAGGTGATTAGTTTGGCAAAAAAGCCTTAACTGGCCAATTCTGTGATATTTACCAGCAAAGGTAACTAGTAAGTTGTGTTGCTTTAATCTGTCAGGCAGAAGTTTATCCCATTGAGCCTCCTAAGAGTTACAGTCTACATCACTCATGCTGGACCAGTAGTTAACAGAGGAGAGAGAGGGTTTGTGTGGTGGTTGCTGTTGGTATGGGTGCCTGCAGAGCTAATGCCAGGTGCTGAAAATGTCTTCGTCTTTAAAATTGAGAAAAGAAACACGTGTGTTCAGTGATAGCCACAGTGGCTGAGACACTTAAGTGCCTACAGGAGCTGCCTCCCAAACCCCACTTACACCCAGCACACTGAGGGGATCTGCAAGTGGCTTTGTCAACCAAAGAGTTTCCCTCCTTTCAGTTATCCTGCTGACTCTGGAGCCAAGAAATAGGTATTTCATGTGACTTTATCAAGTACTTCCTGTCTCCGTGTTTAAAATGGTCATTTTTAAGAAATTGTTTGGAATTCAGAGTATTTTTCCCCCATTAAGAAATGTCATAAATGGTGGTTAACTTTTAAGCCCAAACACACTAATTTGTTTAACATAAATGAAATGTACTAATGGTAGAAATGAACTGCCATTTGTAACTACATTTTGCTTTTAATACACAAGAAAATAATTAGTGAATTCCAAATTGGGTTGCTGGCATTGTGCTGCTGGCCCTTGCGGCGTCACCCCCACCCTCACTGTCAGCCAAATGAGAGGAAGGACTCTAGTTCTATCCACTGGCAGAGATCCACGAACTCTTAGCATCCTGTTATCAACCTCTTAAGCTGCATTGAAAAATTACCAGTCTATTTTTATTAAGCCTTAAAACTTTTTATGTGCATTTGGTGCCAACTTTTTTCTAGAGCTGTATCAAAAACAAACCTGTACTCACATCACAATGTAATTTTGATAGGAACATTTTGTTATTTTTACAAGGCAGAATTGGGTGTAACAGTTGAAATAAACTTCGTAATCATGTATGCAGGGTCTTTGCCTGTTTGGTGTCTGGGGGGGCGGGGTGCACATACTTTCCTTAACATCCATTCTCCAACATGCCTGACCGCTGCTCCTTCCCTTATAGTGTTTTATCAGTGAATGGGTTGCCTTTTTTTTCCATTTAGCCAGAGGATGCCCAAATTAATCTCTAAGGTTTAGATTTAGATTTTTTTTCTTTTTTTAAATATATTTTATTGATTTTTTACAGAGAGGAAGGGAGAGGGATAGAGAGTTAGAAACATCAATGAGAGAGAAACATCGATCAGCTGCCTCCTGCACACCCCCTACTGGGGATGTGCCTCCAACCAAGGTATATGCCCTTGACCGGAATCGAACCTGGGACCCTTCAGTCCCCAGCCTGATGCTCTATCCAGTGAGCCAAACCGGCTAGGGCGGATTTAGATTTTTTTCATTTGAAAACCAGATTCAGCTGTCCTTTTTTAAAATCTTATTTTGTTATGTATCCAATTCTTGTTTTACATATATATTTTAGTAGTATCATTATTATTATTGATTGATTTCAAAGAGGAAGGGAGAGAGATATAGAAACATCAACGATGAGAGAGAATCATTTGATTGGCTGCCTCCTACACACCCCACACTGGGGATCGAGCCTACAGCTCAGGCATGAGCCCTTGACTGGAATCGAACCCAGGTCCCTTCAGTCCCCAGGCTGACCCTCTATTCACTGAGCCAAACTGGCTTAGGGCCAAAGATTCAGCTTTGAGTAGAATGAGCGGGAATGTTCTAGAGTCCCAGTTTCTATAAAGATTCATTTTTTCTGCCGCTTGTTTTCCTAACAAAGTGAAGGTATTTGAACTTGCCTCTGAATTGGCTTTAAAACTGTCCAGTACAAGCCTTCTCATGAATAGATGGGGTGCTGAGCTGTAGAGTTTGCCTGTAGATTCAAGCCCTGCAGAGAAGGCACAGATTGAACGTCTTTCCTTCTTACATATTACCTATTATCAAATGTCCTACAAGCAAATTTAATACCCTTGTATGTATGATGTGGGTTCAGGATAATGAAACTACTCAGACTGCCTGCCTGCAGAGTTCCCCTACAGGAGGCTCCACACTTAACGCCTACTGGATCGAGGCCAACTACCAGAACAGCACGAGCACCTAAAGCAACCTGACATGGCTTACCTAACATGATCTTCATTTGTTCATCTGAACGTGTTTGGGAGTTCAGAGACTATTCCAAAAACTGGGCGACATCACATTACCTGTTTGGGTAGCCCAGTTGGTGGGAGCATCGTCCTGATATGCCAAGGTTGTGGTTCAATCCACTGTCAGGGCACTTTAACACATTGTGTACCGCATAGAAATCTCTAAGACATACGCCAGGGACCGCACGTTTTTGGGCAAACTGCACGTTATTTAAATCATCATAATGCACTGTAGGTGTTTTTCAATAATTATAACATTTTTATTTACAAAAACAATTAAACAAAGTTCCTAGTACTTTTTAAATGTATGGTACTGCGTAAAACATTTTCCTCTATGAAGAGGGACCAAACAGAATTTACATAAGTATCTAGATTCGCTCCTTTTTCCATGGGCGTGAAAAACGAGAACACTCATGAGCGGTCCTTAACAGATGGCGCGCAAAACACGAGAAAACTGAGCGGTACGAAATGTGTTTAAAAAAAAAAAATCAATAGCCGAAACCAGTTTGGCTCAGTGGATAGAGCGTCGGCTTGCGGACTGAAGGGTCCCAGGTCCGATTCCGGTCAAGGGCATGTACCTGGGTTGCGGGCACATCCCCAGTGGGAGATGTGCAGGAGGCAGCTGATCGATGTTTCTCTCTCATCGATGTTTCTGACTATCTCTCTCCCTTCCTCTCTAAAAAATTAATAAAATATATTTAAAGAAAAAAAATCAATACATTATCTTTGTAGCAGGCACTCCAGCCACAGGTGAGCACTGAGGTCTTGGGAGTGTCACAACACAATGGCTAAGTCTGAAATGCCCAAGGTAGCTCCATCTGTTATGGTTGGGGGCGTGAATAAAATCAGAGGGTGGCCACTTCCAAGTCCTGTGCCTTGTCCAGAAATACACTTTTATCTTTGTGACTCAAACCTTACAAGAATACATGTACCTCCTTTGTTATCTAGTTCATTTCTTCGGAACTCATTATGTGTGTAAGTGTTTTGGTGGTTTTTTTTTTTTTTTTTTTTTTTTTTTTTTTTTTTTTTTAAATATATATTTTATTGATTTTTTACAGAGAGGAAGGGAAAGAGATAGAGAGTTAGAAACATCGATGAGAGAGAAACATCGATCAGCTGCCTCCTGCACATCTCCCCCGGGAGATGTGCCCGCAACCCAGGTACATGCCCTTGACCGGAATCGAACCTGGGACCTTTCAGTCCGCAGGCTGACGCTCTATCCACTGAGCCAAACCGGCTTTGGCGTGTTTTGGTGGTTTTTAAAATGTTTTTATTGATTTGAGGAAGAGAGGAAGGGAGAGGAAAAGAGAAACATCAATTGGTTGCCTCCCATATGCACCCTGACCAGGGATCAAACTCGCAACCTGGGTATGTGCCCTGACCGGGAATCGAGCTGGCCACCTTTTGGTGCATGGGACAATGCTAAACCAATTGAGCCACAGTGGTCAGGGCTCAACTCATGTTCTTAATCCTTAGAATTCTTAGAGATCATGAATGAAGTACTAGTATTCCTGTTTTATGTTTGACTAAAAAGCTATCTAAAATTCAACTTGGGAAGAAATGAGAGGCACATTACAGGGGCTTGGTTGACTGATTTTCAGCAGGCATTTGGGATATTTAGAAATTAAAGTAGAACTTGCCCTGTCTTGTTTGGCTCAGTGGATAAAGCATCAGCCTGCAGACTGAGCCACACAGGCTGGGCTCCAGCTGCATTCTTCAGTAAGCATCAAGAGTTCTATCAGCCCGGCCAGCGTATTGAGCATCAACCTATGAACCAGGAGGTCAGAGTTCCGATTCCCGGTCAGGGCACATGCCTGGGTTATGGGCTTGATCCCCATTGGGGGGCATGCAGGAGGCAGCCAATCTATGGTTCTCTCTCATTATTGATGTTTCTCTCTCTCTCCCCCTCTCCCAAATCAATAAAAAAAATATTTTTAAAAAAGTTATATCATCATATTAAAACTTGATTTTGTTTTAACCAATGTCAAGTAACAAATCTAATTATCTATATACACTGAGTGGCCAGATTATTATGACCACCTGACGTTTGTAGGCAAATTAGACGTGCACTGCATCGTACGGGATATGGAAGCCAAAGGCCTGTTTGAACACCTTTGCTGTCTGCAGTTACCAAGATAAAATGTCTCCAATTTGCACAGGAACACAAGGATTGGACAGTCGAGCATTGAAAAAGTCATGTGATCCGATGAATCACGTTTCCAGTTGCATCATGCAGATGGCAGAGTGAGAATTTGGCGGAAAGAGCATGAAAGCATGCACCCCACATGCATGAGTACAACCCTTAAAGCTGGTGGGGGCAGTGTTATGGTTTGGGGCATGATTTGGGCCTTTTAATTCGTGTGGAACAACGTCTGAATAGCACAACATACCTAAGTATCGTTGCTGATCAAGTTCATCCTATCAGGTTGATGGCGTATCCCAGTGGAGATGGCTTCTTCCAACAAGACAATGCGCCATGCCACGGTGCTCGTATTGTGCAGGAG